GATTGAGGGTGATTTAGCGGTTTGGATCAGAAATTGGCTAGCTGTAAAAAGACAAAGGGTGGTGGTTGATGGGAAATGTTCACCCTGGAGTTCAGTTACTAGTGGTGTACCGCAAGGATCTGTTTTGGGGCCACTGCTGTTTGTCATTTTTATAAATGACCTGGATGAGGACGTAGAAGGATGGGTTAGTAAATTTGCGGATGACGCTAAAGTCGGTGGTGTTGTGGATAGTGCGGAAGGATGTTGCAGGTTACAGAGGGACATAGATAAGCTGCAGAGCTGGGCTGAGAGGTGGCAAATGCAGTTTAATGCGGAAAAGTGGGAGGTGATTCACTTTGGAAGGAGTAACAGGAATACGGAGTACTGGGCTAATGGTAAGATTCTTGGTAGTGTGGATGAGCAGAGAGATCTTGGTGTCCATGTGCATAGATCCCTGAAAGTTACCACCCAGGTTGATAGCGTTGTTAAGAAGGCGTACAGTATGTTAGGTTTTATTGGTAGAGGGATTGAGTTTCGGAGCCATGAGGTCACGTTGCAGCTGTACAAAACTCTGGTGCGGCCGCACTTGGAGTATTGCATACAGTTCTGGTCACCGCATTATAGGAAGGATGTGGAAGCATTGGAAAGGGTGCAAAGGAGATTTACCAGAATGTTGCCTGGTATGGAGGGAAGGTCTTATGAGGAAAGGCTGAGGGACTTGAGGTTGTTTTCGTTAGAGAGAAGAAGGTTAAGAGGTGACTTAATAGAGACATACAAGATGATCAGAGGATTAGATAGGGTGGACAGCGAGGGTCTTTTTCCTCGGATGGTGATGGCTAGCATGAGGGGACATAGCTTTAAATTGAGGGGTAATAGATATAGGACAGATGTCAGAGGTAGGTTCTTTACTCAGAGAGTAGTAAGGGCGTGGAATGCCCTGCCTGCAACAGTAGTAGACTCGCCAACTTTAAGGGCATTTAAATGGTCATTGGATAAACATATGGATGATAATGGAATAGTGTAGGTTAGATGGGCTTCAGATTGTTGCGCCGACCTGTGAAACCATCGAGGGCCGAAGGGCCTGTACTACGCTGTAATGTTCTATGTTCTATGTACAACACAGGAATTTGGCAGTATTCAAAAGATATATATGTAAACACCAAGAACATAGCAAATAACTGATGAGTGAGGGCACAGGTGGACACATAACGAACGATATCTCTATTATAGTGGAAAACTGGCTTAAAGAGGTGCAAAAGATAGCAGCCTAACATCTTTGGATTTACATTTTTCAGGCAGAATACAGCAAGGTACCAAAAAGGTGGGGGTATGATATTAACGGTTAAAGAATGTTCAAACCATCATGGATTTTTGTTTATTTTTCTCATTTTTGCTTTGGGTGAGCTGAAGTTAAGAATCAAACTTCAAACAGCAGTTTGTTCTAAAAAAGAAAATTAACAAAGTGATATTTGCATTTGGGAAGTGGCCTGGAAAGATAATTGAAGATTAATTATTGTTCTAAGAATACTGCAGATGTTTCAGGCCCTGGAGATGTTAGGTTCCAGGACTGGCAGCTAGTTGGATGTTGCATTGGTCATTCAGGGCACTGGCCAGCCAGAGGGAAATGCTGAAAGAGGGAACTTGTAGATTAAATAGATTTTGACTGGGTTTTCAGGACAGAAGGGTGTATTCTCAGAAGCTACTGGACTGGGTAGCGGTGTCTGAGTTTTACTGTCTCTAGTTTTACATACAGTTAAAAGGGTTATTGAATGCTTGAGTAGAGAATCCTAGGTTACAATAAATAAGTGCATATTTCTTGGAGCCAGCTGGAAGCTGTGTGCATGACTGATGCCTTTGGAATTTAAGCAAATTATAATCCCACGTGGCCTGTAAAACAACTTTCAAGGATCCTGTTAAAACCTGGTACTCATCGCTCAAACAATTATCAAACTGTTGCAAATTGCTACTCTTTTTTTCTTTCTAAATTATCCCTTATTGATGTCTGTCTGAGAGAGAATGGAGGTTATAATCAATGAAGATTGGGTTTAAATCATAGACATTAATTAGATTACCTCATTGCTTAGCTTTGCACTATTAAAGTTAGAGTATTAATAATAAATTATTAATTTCTGATTAAGTTATAAACTTGGTGCCTTGGTGTTTTCTTAAAAGTCTGTTTAGGAACAACTGTGAAATTTTGAGGGTCAAATGTTTTCATTTCATTGTGATGTGAATCCAATGTTAGCAGGCTTGATTTCATCTGGCTCGTTACCCCTGTGCCATAACCAGAATCAGTTACTGCTAGATGAGTGATATACTAAATTGAGCATCAAATGAGGCAATATAGGTTGATCTCAAATGAAAAATAAGGACACACACTGAGATGCAAGGTGTATGAGATACAAATCATATGCCTTGTATCAACAGATGAACATAATTATTTTAGACAGTGGATTTTGCACGAGTCAAAATTGAAGTTAAATGCATAAAAGAATGTCTTTACAGAAAGGAGTTAGTTAAGGTAATTTTAAAAAGTAGGTTACATCAGTGCAAAGGTTTTAGCTTGAAACTTCCAAACCAGAATTGTTAGGTTAGAACTGTGAAGAGGTTATTCGAAGATTAGAAAGTGCAAGCTCAGTTTTGTGACCATCAAGGGAGACAGTACCAACTCTCAAGATTAGGAATTGAAAAAAACAGTTAAATTAAACCACAGAAATGACAGAGAACCAAAATATCTCCCTGGTGTTCGAGTACTGTGAGGTAAGGCTACTGGGATTGACGGGATTATATCTTTACTGGGTGTTTCAGAATCGTTCAAAATTATACATCAATAGCTAGGCACAGACAGCACAGTGCCTCACAGCGCCAAGGACCCGGGTTCAATTCCAGTCTCGGGGGACTGTGTGTGGAGTTTGCACATTCTCCCTGTGTCTGTGTGGGTTTCCTCTGGGTGCTCAGATTTTCTCCCACAGTCCAAAGATGCGCAAGTCAGGTAGACTCGCCATGCTAAATTGCCCATAGTGTCCAGTGATGTGTAGGTTGGGTGGATTAGCCAATGGAAATGCAAGATTACAGGATAGGGTAAGGAGGTAAATCTGGGTGGAATGCTCTTCAGAGAGTCGGTTTGAAGCTGTTGGGCTGAATGTGCTGTTTCCATACTGGAGGCATTCTATGATTCCGTAGGCTTATTCTATCTTTTTTATGAGATAAACCTCTGTTTTACAGTAAAATCAGTTCTCTAGTATTATGAAAAATCATCTTGTTGAATAAACATTAAAAAAAATCTATCAAGCCAGACTTCAGTCTGGACTCAGAACTGTTCAGTGTTACCAGCACCTGGGATTATAACGATACTGCTTGGTGTGCATTTTCAACTCACAAATCGTGAAGACAATTCAAGGAGCAAACACCTGAGTAGGTTTCTAAGTGCAGATGCAAAACAGCTTCAATAAACAGGGTATTCAATTACTCAATTATCAACTGGAATTTGAAACAGTTTAAAAGGCCCAGAGGTCACAACATTCTTAAACAATATACAGAACATTTTTAGCTAGCATATAACAAGCCCAATAAGACAGGGTGCAATTCTCAATTTGGTCTCAGGAAATGAAGTTGGACAATTGGATGAAGCAGCAGTGGGTGTCCAGTTTGCAGATAATGATTATAATAGAGTTAAATTTAGCATTATTATTCAATGGGACAAAGACAGAACAAGAGAAACAGTTCTAAGTTAGAGGAAGGGAAGTGTTACAAAGACATGATCAGGCAAAAATGAACTGATGCAGCTACGAGAAGGAAAGTCAACAGCAAATTCAGTCCACCAAATTTGCTCCCCCCTTCCATGAGATCATGGCTAATCTGGTAATCCTCAAATCCACTTCCCTGCTGCATTCCCATACCGTTACTTCCCTTACTGATTAAAAATCCCTCTCTCTCATCCTGGAATATACTTCATGATACAGCCTCTACAGGCTTCTGTGGTAAAGAATTCCAGAGATTGGCTACCTGTAAAAAAAATTCTTCCCCATCTCAATCTGAGAGGTGACCTCTGGTCTTAGACTTTCCCCATCTACCATGTCAAATCCCTGAAGAACTTTGTAAGTTTCAGTATGGTCACCACTTATTCTTTTAACTCCAACGAACACAAGTCCAATGGAGTCAATTCGTTATCATAAGGAAAGCCTTTATACTCAGGGTTAACCTGGTGAATCTTCTCTGGATTGTCTCCATTAGTACAATGAATACTTTTGGTGCCCTAAGGAAACACAATATTTAGCTGTGGACTAATAAGTGCCTTGTCATGTTTATGCAGGGCCTTCCTATTTTTAGACTCCATTCCCTTTGAAATATAGGCCAACAGTTTACTTGCCTTCCCTATTACCTGCTAAACTTGGATATTAGCCTTTTTGGCCGCCTTTGAGGACCCCCCCAAATCCCTCCAACATGCAACTTTCAGCAGTTTTCCCCCCTTTTAAATAATATTCAGCCCTCCTTTTCTTCCTGGCGAAGGCAAAACCTCACATCTTCCCACAATATATTCCATCGAAGTTTCTGCACACTCACTTAACCCGTCTACAATCCCTCGGTAAACTGTGTGTCATCTTCACTACTCGCCTTCCGACTTACTTTTGCGTCACTGCAAACTTGACAATTGTACATTCACTTCTGTCATTCAATCCGTTGACATAAATTGTATCCAACTGTGGCCGCAGCACTAACCCCCGTGGCACTCCATTCATTATAGACTGCCAGCCTGAAAATGTCCCCTTTACCAAACTCTGTCTTCTATTAGTTAAACAAACAATTATCTATGCTAAATATACTACCCCTAACACCATGGGCTTGAGAGAGATTTGGCCTACATTCATTGAAATTTAAAAGAATGAGAGGCGATCATTTTTGGAAGATTACCACAGCGCATCTACTGCCTCAATTGCTACTCCCTTCAAAATCCTAGGATACAACCCATCAGGTCCCGGGCATTTATCCACCTTTAGTCCTATTAGTTTCCAGAGTAATTTTTCCTCTAGTGATAGAAATTGTGTTTATATCCTTGAATATTTAGTTCCTAGCTTTGATCTCTTTGTAATCATATCTCCGTAATGGCAATTAGATTGAAAGCATTATCCTCTATTTGTGCCTTTTCATTTATTTTGTTCTGAATACTATGAACATTACAATTGAGCCATTACTTCTGTCTTTTTACCATTTCTCCCCACTGAATCGATTTACTTCTGTTTTATGCTTGTACACTCTGATCTTTCTCCATTATCAAAATAATTGCCCTGCAATGCTTCCATATCTTTTTGCTTTGTAAGCCAAGTATCCCCCTGCTGAACCCTTCCTCACTTCTAATTAGTTTAAATCCCTCTCGAAGCCTATTCATTTTTATTTCTCATGATCTTATCACTATTCCATAAATTTAAATAGTGATAGCAGTCTGTAATAGAAAATAGGCGAGAAGTCAGAAAGAGAGAGAGAAATTGAGAGGACATTTTCAGATTATTAAATAAGCAGAGCTGTTTCCTATACCTTGTTCAAAAGTAGTCTTAGAAGAGTTGTCCAAAAAATGGGAGATACTCAGTCTTGGTCTTGTGAAATGGGGCAACTTAAAGTGTGTACATAAGAACATCTTTACTAATGCATGACAGACAGGAGTTCCATTTGAGACTACAGGAGACAAAGTATCAAGAATGTAGAAAATGCTACTACAATAATGGCGGAAGCAGATAACATTGCTGCACTTCAAGTGAGGTTTAATGTTGCAGGATGGACATGGAATAGAGCTCTACAGGAGCTGAGTTGAAAGATCTGATTGGAGATTAGGAGGCTCAAATGGAAAATGAACATAACTACAGATTCAGCTGGACTGAGTGCATTTTCAAGAAAAGACCATAAATATCAATAAAGAAGTTTTAAAGCTGTAGCCAATGCTAAGCAACAGAAACAGAAAAAAATCTTCCCTTGGAAGAACTAAATGAAATATTTTCAATGTCAGAACCATAGCTGATGTTTCATTACTGTTAAAGTTGTACATTTCTCAATTTTGGTTTGGAGCGGTGAACTGCGAGTTGTTAGCTAAGAATAGCTTGTGGATTTTGAAACAGCTTGTGGTAAAAGGAAAAGAACAGACTAAACAAGCTTTGTTTGTTTGAGGGTGTAGACCTGGAGGCTAGTTCATGGTTAAAACAGTTCCAACAGACACAGCAACCTCAGGAAGAGCACTGTGCAAAAGTAGGCCATTAAGGAGGTCAGCATCTAGGAATTGGTTCCAGCAAGTCTGGAACCAATGCTGTGTTCATGCAGATGGTAGTCGTTGAATGGTAATTAAGCCATCGGGAAGACACTCAGTTGAAACTGGGTTTTCAGAGTAGACGGGCTTGGCAAATGACAAGGCAGCACGCAAATTTGAAAGCTCCCTGCCTAATCTGTTACACTACATTTTGGAAGTGCAATTAGTAGAAAACAGAGTGACAAGTATTGCTGCCTTTTGTCTGGGTGGACTGAGAAGGTGACACCGATTGGCAGTTCCAGAAAAACAACAAAGAATTATACATCCACGCCTGCAAAACAGCACTTCATGAAAGGTAATCAAGTAATCTAGCTAGTTTGGTTATTTTATTTATCCCGTGTTAATTGTCTGCCTTTGTGCGAATGGGGTGTGGAAACAAATTTTCTGAGTTCAAAGTACAGGCATTGATGCATTTACAGTGTTTAGTTTTCCCTCTGCTAAAGTTATTGTGCATTTGATAAATAGGTAAGTCTTTTGTTAAAGATGCAAAACTGGTGTTTGGAAGCTAATTATTCACAAAGTCTGGGATTTATTCACAAAGTCTGGTTAAGAACGAAAGGAATGATTATTGAGGGTCTTTGATAGTTTAATTTTACTATGATTTGAATACAGAGATGGAAAGAGGCTAATTTAGTTTAGCAGTCTGTCTCAGTGTCATGACGCAATGCACTAAAAGGTTCAATGAAATCAAAGGCAAAGGCAAATCACATGTACATTAACAATATGCAAACTGATCATCAGGGATATGCAGGCATCTAGAGTTGACATTACGATCAGATCCACCCTGATCTTATTGAATTGGCAGAGCAAGCTTAAAGGGTCAAATGGACCAATCTTATAGAATTGTAAAATCAGTTTCGGAATTTTTCTGTTCCCTTTCACTATTTTTGCTGTCACTATCTGCTGACCAAAGGTGGACAAGCACCTTACGTCCCTTTGTCATCAAAGTCGCCACGTTGACTGTTAGATTTTCTCTTTTAAAATGTTGTGTTGCAAGTTCCTACAGCATGAGTGCAAACTTGCAAAGCAGGTAACCAGAGGATGGATTTAAATGCCAGACATTGTCAGTATACATTTATAATAAAATTTTCATCTCATGTTGAAGCAAATATATAGCTATATGTCCCTAACCTGTAAAATTCACATTTTCCTGCCATTCCATTGTTGTTAGGTACAAGCCAACCACCATCAGCAAGCTGCATTCCATTTCCGGTTTTAACCAGTTCTTCACTGAAGAATTCTCGACTGTTGATCTGAAATGATTCTGCATTTTCTGCTCGTACCTTCAAAGTACCTCTGCTGACTCCATAAATGTACAGCTGGGGAAAAGATGATAGTTCAATTATTAATCCATTTGATGTATTCTCATTGCTGAATTGTTTCTTGGTTCTATTTCTTTTGGCGGGAAAATTGGGAGGAAATGGCAAATACGATTTAAACCAAGCACTTACTTTCACTTCTCAAAACATTATCAATTGGTTTAGGTCCCTCTGATCAGAGTACCACACTGGCCTTGGTATAAATTCTAAAATGCTCTGCTGCTAGCCCACTGCTCTACCACTTACATTCTAAACTCAAAATCAAGTCAAACCAGCTGTGCCCAAGTTACAAGCATGGGCCATGTGGCAATCTGGTCCAAAGAGTACAACACAACTGAGTTTTATTTTCTTCTGAGAAGACAATTAGATGTTTGTCACTCTGAAATTCAACCTTCAATGACATTAGTAATTTGGGTATTTTTGAAGACAGCTACACTGTCAAAGCAAATCAACCCTGGTTGAAGTGTTGCCACGGGGAATCCATCTAACTAGCAGTTTAGAACAAAGAAAATTACAGCACAGAAACAGGCCCTTCGGCCCTCCCAGCCTGCGCCGATCCAGACCCTCTATCTAAACCCGTCGCCTATTTTCCAAGATAACAAGGTGCAGAGCTGGATGAACACAGCAGGCCCTGAAGGAGGGTCTAGGCCCGAAACGTCAGCCTTCCTGCTCCTCTGATGCTGCTTGGCCTGCTGTGTTCATCCAGCTCTACACCTTGTTATCTCAGATTCTCCAGCACCTGCAGTTCCTACTGTCTCTGGCCTATTTTCCAAGGATCTGTATCCCTCTGCTCCCTGCCCATTCATGTATCTGTCTAGATACATCTTAAATGACGCTATCGTGCCCGCCTCTACCACCTCCGCTGGCAACGTGTTCCAGGCACTCACCATCCTCTGCGTAACGAACTTTCCACGCATATCTCCCATCAACTTTTCCCCTCTCACCTTGAAATCGTGACCCCTAGTAATTGAGTCCCCCACTCTGGGAAAAAGCTTCTTGCTATCCACCCTGTCTATACCTCTCATGATTTTGTAGACCTCAATTAGGTCCCCCCTCAACCTCTGTCTTTCTAATGTAGATAATCCTAATCTACTCAACCTCTCTTCATAGCTAGCGCCCTCCATACCAGGCAACATCCTGGTGAACCTCCTCTGCGCCCTCTCCAAAGCATTCACATCCTTTTGGCAATGTGGCGACCAGAACTGTATGTAGTATTCCAAATGTGGTCGAACCAAAGTCCTATACAACTGTAACATGACCTGCCAACTCTTGTACTCGATACCCTGTCCGATGAATGAAAGCATGCCGTATTGCCTTCTTGACCACTCTAGCCACCTGCATTGCCACCTTCAGGGTAGAATGGACCTGAACACCCAGAACTCTCTCTGTGCATCAATTTTCCCCAGGGCTTTTTCATTTACCTTTATAGTTTGCTCTTGAATTGGATCTTCCAAAATGCATCACCTCGCATTTGCCTGGATTGAACTCCATCTGCCATTTCTCCGCCCAACTCTCCAATCTATCTATATTCTGCTGCATTCTCCGACAGTCCCCTTCATGATCTGCTACTCCACCAATCTTAGTGTCACCTGCAAACTTGCTAACCAGACCATCTGTACCTTCCTCCAGATCATTTATGTATATCACAAACAACAGTGGTCCCAACACGGATCCCTGTGGAACACCACTGGTCACAGTTCTCCATTTTGAGAAACTCCCTTCCACTACAACTCTGTCTCCTGTTGCCCAGCCAGTTCTCTATCCATCTAGCTAGTACACCCTGGACCCCATGCGACTTCACTTTCTCCATCAGCCTACCATGGGGAACCTTATCAAACACCTTACTGAAGTCCATGTATATGACATCTACAGCCCTTCCCTCCTCTATCAAATTTGTCACTTCCTCAAAGAATTCTATCAAGTTGGTAAGACATGACCTTCCCTGCACAAAACCATAACAAGATAAGGTTTCCTCTATTCCAGGTACTAATTATTGGAAACCTCAAATAGGGCTGGAGGTATTTGCTCAGTGCAATTTGATGCTTAAAAAAAAAGGTATATCAAAGCTATCTGTGGGATAATAGCAATCTCTTTCAAATCATTGCTTGCTGTGTATCTCAAATCATGAATAGGCAACTTGTGAAACTAACCATTTCAGTGTTACTATGCAATGAGTGGATTCTATCAGATAGCTCATCCCTTGGGATGTTTGCAACAGGAAGATTATCTATACACAGCAGGTCACAATTGTAAACCACATAAGTGTCAAACAATAGATGTGATTTTGAGGTTGATGAACAATCCTTAGTGTACTATGAATTATGCTAGCAACTAATTTAAAATTAAAATAATTTAAAACAATTTGTTAGGCTTGCAACATGGCTCACTTACTTGTAAGAAGCTCCATATGTTCAAATACAGGGCCCTGTCCTCTAGAAATAGAAACTACGTGCTCAGACCTTACCTAAATTCATAAAAGCCTGGGGGACAACTCTACTCAGGTGCATTGCCCCATGACAACAACTCAACCAATCGAATTCTATTTTTGAATATGAAGAAAAGCTTGGGGGATAACTGTTCCCTGGTGAATTGTCCATGGCAATACCTTGACCAGAATCTACTTGCCAACCAACCTAAGGCAGAATGACACAGCAGACTCTGGAAGCTGATTGGCCTACTGCTTTTCTCATGTTATATGTCGTTGTAAATCATTCTAATTTAACATTGATGTTCTTGTATCTGTTCTGAAGAGTGCAAGCTGAAAAGCTTCAATAGTACTTTTTTTTCAACTATATTCAAGTTCTGTATTAACAACTGAATAAACAAATAATTGGAAAAACATGTTGAAAATGTTCTAACTAAATCCAATTTCAACAATTTTATGCCTTTCCATTAAAGTTTCCTCAACTAAGTCCTCACAAAGAGTCTACAAGCTGCTGCTGCATGTTTATAAAGCTGTCCAGTTATGAGAATCAGTAGATGGCATGCAAGATGGCTCTTAGTGAATCATCCTCAGCCCCAGAGGAAACTTTTTTTGTATCTACCCCACCTGAGAATTTTCTAAGTGCCAATGAAATCACTTCACACTTCTAAACTCTAAATAGTACAGGACTAATCCCTGGAATTAGCCTGGTGAGTCTCCACTTCATTCTCTACATGGAAAGTATGTCCTCTCTTCTGTGGGCGTTGAAAATAGCACATAATTCTCCATGTGCAGCCTCACCAACATTCCACAGAATTAATAAAAGAAAACTTGTATTCAAATCTTTTGCTAAAGGCCAATCGACTATTTGCCTTCCTGATTGCTTGCTACACTTGCATGTTAGTTTTCAGGTGACTTATGAACAAAGACACCTCAGTTCTTTTGGACCTAATTCTTTCCAATCTCTCATGTTTAAGAAATACTCTGCACCGAATTCCATCTAGCAAAGGGGAAAACCATATACTTTTTTCACATTAGATTCCATCTGTCTGTCAACTGTTGACCAGTCAACTTATATTCAAAATATTCTTGAAGTCTCTCCACATCATCCTCACAACACATTCTCACTTCACTCTGCCATCTTCAAACTTGTAAAATTACACAGGGTCTCCAAATCTAAATCATTGGGATAGACTGAACAGCCGGGGTCCAAGCACTGATCCTTGTAGTACCTACAGTATTAAAGTCCCATCTCCAAGCAACATTCCCTTCAGTGCCATTTACCATTGCAAGCATGAAGAACGGAACTTATCTTTTAATGATACAAAAGTATGAACAATGGGATACAGAATAAGCAGCAAAGGAATACATTGAAGGGAAAAGAGATAAGCAAAACACCTGTGCAAAATGTCACCACTTTCAATATGAAGTCAATCAGCAATCAATGCAAAAAGTAGAATGTTAGGATACAGAGTGCATGTTCGCACATATGATGCTTGGAATTTGTAATGTAAAGTCAGAACAGTTCAATCATTCAGTAGAGTCTTGGCCACCACAAGAGGATATGTGTATTTGATCCAGATGCAAAGGAACTACAAAAAAAGAGCCCCTATGTTTTACTATATTGCATTGTATTGAATGTGAATTCAGACCACTACTTGGCAGTTTAGTCAGGCCAAAGCAGCAGAATATTATGATGACACGTGTGCTCCATGGGGGAGTAAAAATACACTATTCTATGATGGGGAATAATTCTGAGAAAGATTTCTCTAGAAGCCAATTTCTGGTAAAGCATCTGGTCTTCAATAAATTATCTTTTGGCAAAGTTGTCTGGAAGATAAATAATGGAATAGCAAAGCATCAATAAGACTATTTACAGGAGTAAGTACATTGCCAGTGTAACTCTGGAACAAACTGGCCACAGAACAAGGAGCATCTCTCTCCAGCTCACTACCTTTGAAATATGGTGCACTGGCTTAGAGTTTAAATCTCTTGTAAATAGAAGGACTCCTCTCAGGGAGTTGGTTTGAGAGAAGTGGGTGCGCGCGCAAGCAAGAGCGCGAGCGAAAACAACAGCAAGAGTGCGAGCAAACCAATAGAATTCTGAACTGTTGCTCATTTTGTCTGTATTGCACTAGGAGTTTACCACCATAGGATGGGTGGAAGAGATCCGAAGGGAAAACCTTACTGTAAGCAGGTGGAAGGCCCAACTAACTTTACGCAAATCTTCTAAGCAGTACTTTAACCAAGTGGCTAATTCCCCAGATTTTGTTAGATATCTGCCTTGAGTTTGAAGTGTAAGTCAAAGGAATGTAGAAGGAAATTTGAGTTAGGAAGTTCAGTTTCAAAAGTAGTAATTGAATTTACTTTAATATATTTTACATAACTGCCCATTTAGGGCAGAGTGTACTTATACTTATGAGTATTCAAATTGATTTTCATTTAATGAAATTATTTTTATTTAAATGCTAAAGCTTTTAGCTTCATTATTACTGCAAATATCCAGTGTTTTTGAATTCTTAAGGAAAAAAGGCTACTGGTCTCTACTGAGATCATAACAGTATAGATGCATGAATAAAAGACTTTATTAATTGCAATAATATGTCAAACAAGCAGAGTCAGCTGACTCAAGTGCAGTTGAGTGTTGCGCGGTCCAATGAACTGCAATATCAGAAAACACGTTTTAGTTAGAAAGAGTGCTCCATGACCTAGTATAATATCTTTTTGTGTGATGAGTACAAAAAAAAAATGACATTCAGGAGTATAAGTAAATTGTTAACTACACAAAATGAATTTCTTTAGGAACTTAAATCAGTTTGTACCTGCTCTTCTGTGAAAGAAGTTGGAACTTTCCCTTCAACTGCTGAGTGCAGGGTTAGTCTTGTTCCACCAGAACTTTTAATCCTGTACAAACTCCCTGGCTGTGGACGAATAACTTGCTTTTGCTTCTTTATTAACCTCATTTCCTGCAGCTCCCTTGCACATCCCCAATTCTGAACAATCCTAGAGATATCTGCAAACAAAAAACAAAAAAGAAAATAGGTATTTGCAGTAAGGTCAGAAAAGGCTCATTGCAGTCACCCTGCCTATGCAGCATTAATAATCTTACAACAAGATAGCTGACAGGTCCAGCAACATTTCCCTCTTTTACAATTAAAAAAGTCCCAATAATTTGAAGCTCACACACTTTGTGAAATAAGCTATTTTACCACATCTGAATTAAACTGCAAAACAAAACCTTAAAATTGTGTATGACCCAATATCTTTGCCTTCTTCCTTTTCCAATTTCAATCCTTTGTCTACTTTAATCTTTACAAGATGGAGAATGTTTAGAAAATCAGTCTCTTCGATGAACAAAAAGGTAGTTTTGCAGGCTACTTGTCTTGAGACAAAATCCCAGCACAGTTGCATTGATTTTGCTTTATACTTACAGAAAAAAACTCAAGCAGTAGTGAGCTGCCTTCTTGAACCACTGCAGTTCATTTAGCATAGGTAGACCCACAATGTTGTTGGGGAGGGAGTTCAAGGATTTTGACCTAGCACCAGTGAAGGAATGGTGATACATTTCCAAGTCAGGATGGTGAATGTCTCAGAGGATAACTTGCAGGTGGTAATGTTCCCACGAATCTGTGGAAGTTCTGAGGAAGGGTCAATGGACCCAAAACTTTAACTCTGATTTTTCTTCACAGATGCTGCCAGACCTGCTAAGCTTTTCCAGCAACTTCTGTTTTTGTATCTGTGGCCCTTGCCCTTCTCAATGGCACTGGCTGTAGTTTAGAAGGACTAAGGACACTTGATGAATTCTGAAGTGCATTTTGCAAATGGTACACACAACTGCTACTGCTTTGCCAGTGGTGGAAAGAACGAATGAGTGTGATTGGGGTGGAAAGTGAGGACCAGGGAACGCTATCATTGTTGTGGGAGGGGAGGTAAGGGACAAGGTCAGAAGTGCGGGAAATGGGTTGGACACAGCTGAGTGCCCTATCAACCAGAGTGGCAGGGAATCCTCAGTTGAGGTGGTGTACCTTTGAGGCCCCACTGAAGAAGGTGATATCATCAGAACAGATGTGACAAAGATGGAGAAAATGGGAGAATGGGATGGAATCTTTACAGGAAGCAGAGTGTGAGGATATATAGTCAAGGTAACTGGGAGTTGATGAGCTTATAATGGATAATCAGGGGACAGTATTAATAGTGAATTTCAACTACAGTAATAATTTATACATCACTAAAAATGTTCTATACTACCAAGCAATTATTCATGTATCTTAAATCACTGTAAAAGTATAAAAACACAGAATTTTTTTTAGTCAATATACAACAATCCCAATGAGAAGGTGCAGCTTTGGACTGAAATTAGTCAAGTGAAAGGAGTAGGAGAGCAATAGCCTTCATCTTGCTATAGAAAGTTGATCAAACTCTACCACGTTAATTATTTCTGTTTATGATTCTTTATGTTTAGTGGGGAATAATCACTTCAGTGTATGGTAGGACCCGAAAACTCTTCTTCCTACAATTTTCAGGATTTTAAATTCCAAGTGTGTATTGTCTAATCAACATTTCCCATTAACCCTTTTTCAGAAGGCCTGAGCTGTCAATCAAGTCCATTCATTTTTAGCTTTTCAACATAGTGATAAACAAGTGACAGAGACATATTACCCTAAATTAAGTAATTAACACAACAAGAGAGACAAATAATACCTTCAGCAGCAGCTTTAAGTTCTTCTGAAGTATCAGACACTGACTGGAGTTCGTCTTGAACATTGCTAACTAGTACTGAATCATCTTTTAATATGCCATCATCTTGCAAAAGTTTATTGGGATTCATTGTCGTCGCTGAAATCCCAATTTCAGCTGGGACTGAAGAATTGGTAATGTTCACATTATCTTGGCTTTCCATTTGACTTGATTTTGGAACAGTTTTGAATGGTGGGACAAAAACCTTTGCTGGCTTTGATGGAGTATGTCCACTGCTGTTCTTCTTAATGTAATTACTTGAGTATCTTTGGAATGGAGGTTTGAATACTGCTTGTTGTCCTTTCAGTGAACTGACTTCATGTTGAAGGCACAAACTGCGCTGAATTGAGTTTTCTTGGACTGGGAACGTGACATTGGGAGAAATTGACTGCTGATGAATTCTGTTTGAAACACTGTTACAATATACATGTTAAAATGTTAGAACAAATATGCAAGGTTTCCTTTGAAAGGAAATCAAATTTCTGCTAGGATGACTATCTCTATTAAACACTTTTTAAAAAAATCTGAGTTTCTAGGAAGTATTCTCTAGCATAGAGCCTTTGAACACCTAAACAGGATCCCAAGTTTAAATTTCAGATTCAACTAGAATTTTACATATGAACATCGACGGTACATTTTGCTTCTGTTACTTAGGAATGAACTTGAGATTCCTTACTGAATGCTTTGGTCAAATATGCCCATTAGAAAATCAACTAAGTAGTAACAAGAAGGGGTTTTGCAGAAAAATAAGTATACCAGCTATTCCAATTTTGAAGAGAGTGATGAAGTTAACATGACAGTATAGCTACTAACAAAGAAATGTCTACACACACTAATGAAATTTGAAATTTCATGACTAAATACCATCAAACTGTCCATTCAGGAACAGCGATGAGGAATGGAGCTAGTGACAAATTCTCGAAAGGACATTCATATAAAATATCAAATTCAGAATTTTCACTGTCCAGAAATTTCTATACTGCATAATCGATTCTAAATTCACCAGATTTTAAAAATGCAGATTAAAAATTCCAGGTCCATCAGTAGGATACTTTTTTGCCGTCAGCAGTCATTACATAAAAGCCAACTTGAAAAACTGAAGACAGAGTCCAAGCTACAGGACACAGGTTGACAATAATGATTTCTGAAGAAGGGTCCCGACCCAAAATGTCAACTTTCCCACTCCACTGATGCTACCTGGCCTGCTGTGTTCCTCCAGCTCCACACTGTTATCTCTGACTCCAGCATGTGCAGTTCTTATTATCTCTCTTGACAATAATTATGTCTTGACTTCATTCACGCTGTTATGTGGAAGTACAAACAGTTGCACTTTACAACAACAAAGAGGAGGCAAATCATAGACTGACCTCGGCACTGGTAGATTGCCAAAGGCCTTGGAAAAGGGTGCTTGAGTAATCCACTGTCATGCCATTTTGCCAATGGTGGCATGGTCAGTACGTTACTGGGAGGACAACGAAGCCACTTAAATGGTCAATTATAGGGACACCTTGTTTCTGCAAGCACTTTGCTCATGTCAGGTGAGCATGCTGCCAGGTGGGGAAACTGCCAGTTCCCACTGAATTCCATAGAAGTGTGGAGATTCTCTTTTATAGCCACTCCAAGGCCCATGTAGGGGTCACCAGTAGGAACAGCCAACTTTGTGGCAGAGTTTACAGCATGGAATAATCACCACTTATGGCCAAGCCTAACCTGTTTAGGCCCAGTCACCCCAAACCCAATTAGCTTTCCTTAGGGATGCCCAGTCTACACCCACAAAAGTCCCTAAATCACCTAGAAAAATTCAAAAGACACCAATGAGGAAAAGTCTCTTCCATAAGTAAAAAGGAAGGAAATGGTCAGGCAAACTGCTCTTTAATCATAAGCTAAGTCTCTCCCAAACTTGCAACTTTCTCTTATGCCTGTTCTTTTGCACCAGTGTAAATACTGTCATGTCTAGGAAATGAATACTTTCCTTGTGTGCTGTCACTTTAAGTTTAATGGAGATATGATCATCATTGAAGGTACTGACAAAATATTTGACTTCTATTTCTGAGACTCCAAATACCTTGTGTTAAAATAAATCTAAAAAAACTGTTACTGTGTGATGGTATCAACAAAATGAATGAATTAGTGAGAATGAAAATGTAGCCTTTGAGCAAGTAACACTATTTTGACCTCCGCTGCTGAACTGCTGGCCCTCAGATTGGGCTAGCAGCTCTTCAGGGTGGACTGCTGTCCTTACCTGGAGAGCAGCCAAATGCTGCTCATGGTCTGCTATCTGCCAAAGCAAGGTTACCTCGTACCTTTGGCCATGGTGATGCAATTTCTACTCTTCCATTAAAAAAAAGTCTATCGCCTGTGGACACCTTCCAGTGAATAGTGATCAGCAACCTTCATATGGTCAGGAAGGGGAGATCACATCCAGAGTGAGATACAGCTCGAGTGAGAAAACAGTTCAGGGAATTTGGACGCAGCGTAGAAATTCAGTACAGAGGGAAAGAGGTGCTTTATATGCTTGTTTTTTTCAGCTCATAGTTTGAGGTTTTCTTAAACAGGATCAATTAAAGCCAGGATCAAGGACCCAGCATAAAAGAACGACTTCTCAGGATAAACTGTTAAGTTCATTGGCTAGTGATAGCTACTAATTCAATTATTATAGGTTATTTTCAGATTGAGGGTAAATATGGGAATTATTTACAGATTACCAACTAGAAGACTAGGATGAAGTTTTTAAAAACCAGATTAAGAACTAAGTAATTAGAGATGCTAGGCTAGGCGAGTGTTGTAACTGCATGATGTGAAGCTGGTGGAACCCACCATGGTTCAGTGACATCTGTAGGAAGTGTTGGTTGCTTGAGGAACACTGGCTCAGAGTTGATGAGCTGAGTTTCGAACACTGCAACATATCAGCGAGTGGGAAAGTTACTTGCACACCCGAGTTCAGGAGGCAGTCACTTCTCTAAGATTTACTACCTCAAATTTGGTCAGTGGTCAGGTACAGGAGGGTATGACTAAGAGTGAGGCAGGTAGGAGGATCCAGGAGGTAGTGCTGAAGCAGCCTCAGCCCTGGAGCTTGTCTAACAGGTTTGAGATTCTTGCTTCCTGTGTGGATGAGTGGGGGCTCTAGGGAGGATAAGTAAACTGACCATAGAACCGTGGTAGAGAGAGTCATTCAAGAGTGGGGGGAGAAAGAGAAATGCAGTTGTAATCAGGGACAGTATAGTCAGAGTAATAAACATAGTTCTGTGTAGCCAGGATTGAGAAGTCCAAAGGCTCTTGCCTGGGTCCAGGATATCATCTGGGCTGCACAGGAAATTGGAGTCGGAGGCGAAAGATCCCGTTGTCGTGATCCAGTGATATGTATAAAAAGAGGAAAGAGGTACCCCCGAGGGAATGTGAGCAGCTAGGGGCTAAATTAGAAAGCAGAACCAAAAAGGTAATAATCTTTGGATTACTACCTAAGCCACAAGCAAACTGGCACAGGGTCAACAAGATTAAAGTAGTTAATGCGTGGCTCAAAGATTGGTGTGGGAAAAATAGATTCGAATTCATGGGACACTGGCAACATTGGTACTGGGAAAGAAGGGAGCTGTTCCGATGGACAGGACCCACTTGAATCTTGCTGGGACCAGAGTCCTGGCAAATCGCATAACCAGGGCTGTGGATATGGCTTTTAAACTAAATAGTGGCGGTTGGTTCTGCTCCATGACAAAATGGAAAAATTGGGGCGGGGAGCTGTTGCTCAGCACAGGTCATTAATAGGTCAGACAATATGGAAAGAGTGAGGAATCTAACTTCAGGCACAGCAGATGAAGGAGTGACTATGAGAAGGAGGCAGTCAATGCAGGACTGCAGGTGTTGTACTTAAATGCATGCAGTCTACAAAACAAGGTAGATAAGCTTGTAGCACAAATTGAAATTGGCACGTACAATGTTGCAAGTATCACAAAAGTGACTGCAAGGGAACAAGACTAGAAACTAAATATCCACAGATGCATGTCCCATCAAAAAGACAAGCAGAGAAGCAAGAGTGGAAATTGGACCAAAATGAGGCTGGAGAAGTATAAAGGGAAATAAAGAAATGGCAGAGGACCTGAACAGGTACTTTGCATCAGCTTTTACAGTCGAAGACACCAGCAGCATACCAGAACTTCAAGAGAGTCAGAGGGCAGAGTTGACTGTAGTGTCCATCACTAAGGAGGTAGGGTTGTGGAAGCTGAAAAGGTTTGAAGATGGATAAAACCCCAGAGTTCCAAAGGAGATAGGTAGGAGATTGTAGAGGCAACTGTAGTGATCTTTCAGGAATCACTGGAGTCAGGGAGAGTACTAGAGGACTGTGAAATGGCTAATGTAACACCCTGTTTAAGAAGGAAAGGAGGTAGGCAGAAGACGGAAAACTATAGATTGGTCAGCCCGAACTTTGTTGTTAATAAGATTTTACAGTTTATTATTAAGGACAAGATTGCAGAGTACTTGGAACTGAGGTACAAGGTTCTTGTCAGACTATATTTGTGCTGGGCTTGGAAGGGGTCCAGAGGAAATTAATAAGAATGATCGCGGGGATGAAGAGATTATAACGAGGAGTGGTTGAGGACTCTGGATCTGTACTCAATGTAGTTTAGGAGGAGGAGGGGGAAATTTAATTGAACTGACAAAATATTGAGAGGTCTTGATAGAGAGGATGTGGAGGTGCTTCCACAAGGAGAGGCTAGGACCTAAGGGCACAGACTCAGAATAAAAGGGTGACTCTTTAGAAGAGATGAGGAGGAATTTCTTCAGCCAGAGGGTGGTGAATCTGTGAACCTCACTGCCACAGAGGGTTGTGGAGGCCAAGTTATTGAGTTATTTAAGACAGAAATTGATAGGTTCTTGATTGGAATATGCATCAAAGTGTACGGGGACAAGGCAGGAGAATGGGATTGAGAAACATTCCAGCCATGATTAAATAGCAGAGCAGTCTTCAGTCCTCAGAAGAAGGGTCACTGGACACGCAATGTTAACTCTGATTATTTTCTTCACAGATGCTGCCAGACTTGCTGAGCTTTACCAGCAACTTTATTTTTGTTCCTGATTTACAGCATCCGTAGTTCTTTCAATTTTTATTTAGCAGAGCAGTCTTGATGGGCTGAACAAGGGGAAGTGATGGCCTAGGTGGTATTATTACTATACTATTAATCCAGAGGCCTAGGTAATGTCCTGAAGACCCAGGTTCGAAATCTGACCACTGCAGATGACAGAACATGGATTCAATAAAAATCTGAAATTAACAGTCTAATGATAACCATGAATCCATTGTTTCAGGGAAACTGCCATCCTTACCTGGCCTACATGTGACTCCAGAACTATAGCAATTTGGTTGGGGAATAGACAATAAATGTTGACCTAGCCAGTTATGCCCGCATCCCACCAATGAATTACAATTCCTTTCTCCATCATTAATACCCTCTTGTCTTTTGCACTGGGTCTCTGCCTCTGTCAAAATATTGAAACCTATATTTCAATACCTTCCAAATCTAAAAATCTCAAGTTTGTTTCAGAATTCCAGCATCCACAGTATTCTGCCTTTATATAAAAACTGGATTGGCTAAGGCCTGTGAGGAGGTCTTCAGTAACTATCTCGAATAGAGAGGGTAAAATGGATGAGAAAGAGTTAAGTCAGATGAAAACAGAAGTTAGCCAACAACTGAGAATATAGGTGCAAAATAAGTAAGGCAAAGAAGTTAAGACATAAGAAGTAAATTTGGATTGAAAAGGTGAAAACAGAGGCTGTAAAGCTACAGAATCAATATTTTAAAAATGATGTCCTACAGGGCAGGTAATCTGCAGTTCTCATTTGAATTGGCTATGGACTACAGCCCAACAAAATGTGGATGACTTAATTGCCCTTCAAAGTGACTCCAAATGATGTTCTTCAGTAAATGGCTATCCTGCTAGCAACCTATAGAGAATTAAAAGAGTTAATGCTAAACCTGTACAAATCTTTAAGGCACAATTACTGTTTGGCTTAGTTTGGTTTTTGGCACCTGAGTTGACTAGTTATGAGAAAAGCTCAGGAGGAACTTTTTATCATAGCAAAGAAAAATAAATAATCAGATGAGCTGAAAATTTCAGGAGTTTAATAAGTAAACAGGAAAATACCACTTCCACTTGTTGGTAACTTTGCAATTGGACGGATTCATTTAGGATTGCTAACAAAACGAAGCAAAGGTTGATGAGGATTGTATTATTTTATGAGTTTTTTTTGGGACACAGATACCCCAGCAGAAGAAATGGTACAAGCAGAATCCATAATAGCTTCTAAAAACTAAGTGAACAAGTAATTGGGAGGGGAGTGGGGGGGTAAACAGAAAAAAAGTTGACAGCATGAGGAAAAAAGCAAAATTTTTAAGAATTCTAAAGAGGTGCCCTTGAAAATTACGTTTTAATACAAATACAAAAACATCCAAATATAAAAGTTTTGCTTTTGCAGTAAAGCAATAAAATTAAACAAATTACAACTGTAGTTTCTTTTTAAGACAGAAGTTAAGCCTCATTTCTGAAAAATATTAATAAAATTACCTTTTGTCTATAGATAGACCACAAGCAACAGACTTCATTGGGACAATATACATGAATTTCCTTCGGTCACAAAGTACTCCTGGAGAAAAAGAAATCCATTTTCTCATAATTCATTAAAAACTCACCAAGGCTCATTAAAACTCTTCATTTTGAGTACCTTAGACCAGGAATGGGCAACAAATATTGGCCAGCCAGTAATACCCAAATCCCACAAATGAATAAATAAAAAAAGTCCCCCCCCCACCTTTTTTTCCCATTCTAAAGTTCTTTCTCCTACCTTTTGGTACTGAAATCATGTGTTTAATAGAACATTAAAAATATTATTATTTATTTGAATGAACTTTACGTAGAATTTAACAATCAGCTCATTCATTGAAAAACATTGGAAATAAATTAATATGTTTGAGACAAGTTTTTTTTCTGAACATGAACCTCAATGTTTTTTTTAAAACTTGATTTTGAAAAATATCTGTGGTACCATACAAACATAGAAGACAGGAGCAGGAGGAGGCCATTCATCCCTTCAAGCCTGCTCTGCCATTCACCACGGTCATGGCTGATTGTCCGACTCAATAGCCTAATCCTGCTTTCTTCCCATAACCTTTGATTCCACTCGGCCCATGTGCTATACCTAGCCGTCTCTTGAATACATTCAATATTTTGGCATCAACTACTTCTTGTGGTAATGAAGTCCACAGGATCACCACTCTTTGGGTGAAGAAAGGTCTCATCTTACGGCACGTTTCACGATGATAATTATAGAAAATTGCAATGTACCTTTGTATATCATTTCTTAGTAAGAAATCCATAGTTATTGTGAATCATAGATGAAGACTAGAGCAGGCTTCTCTTCCCTTTCCAATTGTTCCTACTGAGCCTACGGCTGAAAAGGTCCTCACTGTCCTAGGTCTATTAATGGCATTAGTTCCACTTGCCAACCCCGAATCATGTTATTCCCACCCCTCAAAATATTACAATATAATACAATACAGCACAGGATAGGCCCTTCGGCCCGCCAAGCCTGCACCGACTCCTAATTCTTATTTAGGCTCACTACCTATTGCCTTTACACTGTTTCCATCCCTCTGTTCACCTCCCATGTGTCTATTAAGATGCACCTTAAACGTTGCTAACGTGCCTGTTTCCACCACCTCCACTGGCAGTGCGTTCCAGGCACCCACCACTCTCTGCGAAAAATTTTCCCCTAGCCTTCACCCCTAAACCTTCTCCCCTCACCTTGAGCCTGTGACCTCTTGTAGTTGACCTTTTGTAGCCTGGGAAAAGGCCTCTGACTATTCACCCTAAGTATGCCTCTCATAATTTTGTAGACCCCTATCAGGTTGCCCCTCAGCCTTCATCTTTCCAGTAAAAACAATTTTGAGTTTATCCAATCTCTCTTCATAAGTCAAGCCGTCGAGACCAGGTAAAATGCTGGTAAGCCTTCTCTACACCCTCATCCTCTGGAAGTGTGGCATCCAGAACTGCATGCAATATTTCAAATGTTGCCGGAAGTTTTATAAGCTGCAACATAACTTGCCAACTTTTATATTCCATGGCTCAGCTGGTGAATGTAAGTATTCTGTATGCCTTCTTGACCACCTTATCCACCTGTGTTGCCACTTTCAGGGATTTGTGACCTCTACACCTAGATCCCTCTGTCAATGCTCCTAAGGCATACCTCATTGTTATAGGTCCACTGGGATCTGGCAGTAGTGATAGAATACTGACAGGTGCTACCTCTTTTCTAACATGGGATAATATTGCTGCCGGTTAACAAGCAATCACAGGATAGTAAAAGACGGGCAATGTGCCTCACACACAACTGAAAGTCAAAAGAAGATTACAGACCTTAAATTGCTCAATCTTTCAATTTTTCAGTCTGGAAAGACTACAAATAATGTTATATTAATTACATAAATCTAAAAGTGTTTAGACGTTTTTAAACAGTTCCAAATCGCTATTTAACATTATGTCCATGTATCTCCTTTACTTGGTTTCCAAAACTGAAAAGACCAGAAACAATTTTAAACAAATCACCATTACTTGGTATGATGTTCTTGATCTGCTTAGATTTCAGCTTTTACATTCCATACATCAGTAAATTACCATTTCTAAAAATTGTTGGCAGCTTTGTCAAAACCATACTATGGGACTCAATTTTCTACACAATCTGAGCACTTACAAAATTTCTAAGGCTAATCGTATTTTTTTCCTTCCCAGTTCCCAATGAATGAGAATTAACAGCATTAAAATGAAAACACAGCTCTCTCTATTTCATCCACTATAACACCCCGAAAAAAGATAAAGGTTGGGTTCCTTTACTCACATGGCAATGGTTACCATTATTTTAATTTCACTCTCCTCAGGACTACTGAACACTTTCAGAGACAAGTTATAGCCATACTTGGGGAGATCAATATACTTCAATATGAAAGCAGTATGATTTTATCGTATTTGTTTAAAATCTTTACCAAATACCTAAATGGATCAAAAACCAGTGGAAACAAACTATGTGAAGTGTTATGCAACATTAAAAATCAAGACTCAAGTCAATGGTAACAATCTTATACCACATGCTTCTGTAGTAATTATTGACATTAAACATAATTTGTTGGGAGAAGACAAAAATGGCATCAACATACTGTCAAGTGATGCCCAGATGTAGGTAATAGACAATCCAGATTTGGACCCAGCATTTTGTTTTGCTGGAAGTAAAGTTAAATCACAGTCACTATCATTGACCTTTACACCTCCATACTATCCCACAATGTATTTCAATCTTTTAGTGCATTTGTTGGTAAAACTGCAAGATGAAAAGTAGGGCTCACATATTTTATGACTGCTTTAATTGATTTACCCCCCAGGTTACTGACAGTTAAAGACATTCACATCAACATTTACGGAACTACAATTACCTGTTTTGTGCACAGTTGTCTTATTGCTTCTTGAGGCTAAAACAGTCACTGCAGCCATTTGTGTGGCAATTCAACAACTGCTATTCAACGATGCTTTAGATGGTATCTCAATGGAATTTGTCCAGTATAAAGCCAATCGTCACATCTGCAGGTGTACACCTCTGCTACTTTGTCAAGCTACAAAAGATCTCAATCTCCATAACTACATTAATCAACGTTGTCTGAACAAAGTTTACTTTGTGATGATTATGCAAGCAGCACCATAGAAGACAAATAATATTTATCTAGGGTATTAACCACCTCAGACTACTTATGCAGTAATTCAGGCAGGGCTCTACGGAAGGCTTCTTTACAGATATATTGTATCATGTCATTTCTGATAACATTGGTCAGGCAAGATATCCCTTTCTGAAACCACACTGATTATCTTTAACTAGGTCATTTTTCTAACACTAATCCTCAAGTTTGTTCCTAATAATTAAAAAAAATTGTCCTAAATTGCCGTTCTCAAAAATTAAAAGCTCACCATTTCAGTGGAATTTGCCCTGCGTTCAGCAAATGACGTAACTGTTAACTTCTCTTACCAGCATATAAAAATGTTTATAATAGACGAGAAGGCTTGAACACAGGAGGACAGCTGTAACTTTCCATTACCATTCAGGATGCAATGACAAGAAACCCAGAGACAGAAAAAAACCCAGAGACATTCAAATTTAAATTCCTAGCTAGAAATAAAAATACCAAAAGATGAAGGAATGCCAAAAAAAAGGTAACAAACTATACTTTGAGTTTTATAACCCAGTTACAATACTGGTAGCTTACCTTCAGGATTACATAGTAAAGGCTTGAATTCAACTTTGTGATTACTATGTATAGTTCTGTTAAATTCAGACAGCAGCTGCCTTTTTGGTAGAGGTTCCTCTGAAACAAAAATCATCCAGCTTCATTAACATTTTTTAAATAAACATTACTTTAAAAAATACCAATGCTCATTTTTTTCCATTCTTATGCAACGGGTTGTTGTGAAATACATTTCTTGATACCCTCCCCATTTTGCCAACATTATCACCATGCATATAAATGGAACGGAGAGAAGTCCCACAATACTTTACAGCAAAAAACAAAACAGTGGACAACTAAGGAGTCTTAGATATAAACGAAAATATGTGTTAGAAGACAAATTTAAACAAATATTTTAAAGTTGGATAAAGGAGAGTAGAGAATGGTTTAGAGAGAGCACTGCAGAGTGAAACATGTTGAATGTTGGTCTGCAAATGTGTGGTGAGGACAATTCAAAAACAAGGGTACATGTGGGTACTAAAGGTTGGAAGAAGTGAGATAGTTCAGGTGGAAAAGATTGTTCAAAGATTTTAAGAGAAAAATGAGGATTTTAAATTCAGTGCTTTGGGGACAGGAAGTCACCGTAAGCCAGTGAATGCAGCATTGATGGATTAGAGGACCACTTTGAATCATTTTGTCATTATATAAGAGGTGAAATGAGATGCTGGCAAAGGATGAAAAGTGCTCATAAGATTTCCTGTATTTGTTAGAATGGATTAACAAGCAGTAATGGTCAATATTGAGGAGTTGGAAGGAGAATTTTTTGCAGCATACAGGATGAAGAGTTAAAATGCAAGCATAAAAACAAGCATTATTATTAGAAATCTAACAGTAAAACAGAAAGTGCTGGAATTACTCAACTATTTTGGTATCATTTATTCAGAAACTAAAATGGGTAATGTTTCAGAATGATGACCTTTCATTTGAACTGAAAAGGCCATACATGTGACAGATTTAAGGGAAGTACAGAAGCAGGAGATGGGGAATGGGGAAGAAGAACAAAACAAGAGCTGTAATAAGGTGTAATACGTAAATTGAATGGGAAAGAGATGGTACAAAAGAGAAAATGGGGCAACTAAAAATGTGGCCAAAAGTAGCTTAAACGCGAAAGAAGAATCACTACCAATTGTTGCTATCCAAAAAGAAAAACAAAATAGAAGATGGGCTTGGTGGAGGATGATGTATTTAATATGGAAGCTTTAAGGTGAAAGGTGATGACAGCAAACCCTCTTGTGGATCTGGATCAGGCTGGCATGGAAAGCTGCACTGTCAGAACAGATATCACAAATGAAGAAACAGGGAGAACAGCAATGAATCCCTACAGGATGCAGGGTGTATATTTAGGAGTCATTGTTGCAAACAGCTATTTTGACAATATACTCTGAATATTGCTGAGAAAAAAAAGACATTTTGTTGTAGCTTTTAAACTTACAGTCATTCAAGAATACAAATTTTAGAGGAAAGTCAGCATTTAAACTGCATTAATGAAGTGTGTTGATTGATTGGCAAGTTAACTTTGATTGGTCGATATATTATCATGGAGAATACGCCACATAATGATGATTAACAGCTATCTGACAGGCTTTTATTCACCAGGCCGGTTGGCTCTGTTTGATCAATGCACTGCCTTGAGAAACAAATCAGCTAGTGGCTGTCACCTATTATGTTGAATTGAAACAGGTGCAGTCTGTCTAAGAACAAGACCCTGTGTATTAACATATTTAGTTTCCAGGACACATAAGTGCACTGACAGCCCAAATGACAGTCCTAAATTGGTTATCAGTAATTCTTCACATACTCAGAATAACTGTTGTCCAATTGCAAAATCACATCAAATGATGAACACTGTGTTGTGGGTTTTGTAAGTGCAGACTGGCTAATTATGGTGGGTCTCTTGCTTGGTTGCAAATATCCAAAAGGATGTGCTGTTTGATACAATCTGCCTGTCTTTGTGACATAATGCCTACATATCTGGCATTATACAAGCAGTGAAAATCATACCACAATACTCATTTGAGAGAGGAGTAGAATGTTTTGAGGGCTTGATGGCAACAGCCCGTTAATGGCAAACCATATACCCCCCCCCTCTACTTGCACTTTTACTTCTCACTGTTAAGTTAGACAAATTTTGGATATATACAACAGAGTTTGGTTAGAAGAAACAACCCACACTACTGGGTGTATTCAATAACCATCTAGCGGGAAAGATACAGAAGGAAAAAAAGACAGGTAAAAAAAACTGCACAGTAGTTATAGTGGGAGACTTTAATTATCCAATTATAGACTGAGATACTAATGGTTTAGACAGCAAAGGGGAAACAAGAACTTCTTCAGCGCGTTCAGCAGATTTTCCTAAATCAGTACGTTTCAAGAGTGTTTATCAAACCAACACCAGTTTCATGATGGAATTTTGGACAGGCCAGGCTTGTATCCTGTGCAGTGTAACAGATTAAGAAGTAACGTGACGGAAAGATCATAAGGTGTCTTCAAAAGGAAGATGTGGAGAGGATGTCTAATGAGAGAGAGAAGTATAGATTCTTGCTAAACAAGGGGTTGAAAGGTCATCAGGATATGGTAGAGTGTGGTTTTGAGATTGCAATCAGTGCAGCCACGGATTTATTTAATGGCAGAATATGCTGGAGGGATTGAATGGTCTACTCTTGTTCTTTGTTGTATGTTCTGACCTTACATGAATTTGATTCTGAAGAATGATGTTAGACAAGTGGATCACTATTAGTAGAGACACATTTTAAAGGACAATAAACACATTACCTTTATTTTGACTGCAGAAAGGAAAGGAGCAATCCAGAGTAAAAATTGACTGCGTGAGAACACATCTGAGCCAGGTAAACCAGAATCAATTTTCAAGCAAATCATAACAGAAAAATGGGCTGCCTTTAAAGAGCTGGTTTGAATACAGTAGTGATATATACCCCTGAGGGGAAATGTATGAGAAACAAAGCCAGAGTTCCCTGCCAAAAGGGATAGCAAGATGAAGCAGCTCAAGGGTGCATAATACGTTCAAAGGGAAAGAAGTGTAAAGGGGAATAAGAGAAGCAAAGAACAGTATGGAAAGAGAATGCAGCTAACATAGGAGTGTATCTTCTTTAGGCATTTAAATACTAAAAGAAATAGGATGGATTCAGGATCATAAAAGGAATTTATGCACGAAGAGCTTGGCTGAGGTACTAAATGATTACTTTGGGTGTCTTTGCTAAGGAAGATGCTACTGCCAAAATCACAGGCAAGGAATAGACAGTTGAGTCACAGGACGGGTTCAAAAATTGAAGAAGCGGTAGAATTAGAAATTCTGGCTGTAGGTAAAGTTTATAAGTCTTCGAGACTGGATCAGATTCAGAGGATACTGGGGAAAGCTAAGACAGATATTGGAGAGACACTGGGCATAATCTTCCATAGATACAGATAGTGCCAGAGGCCTGGGGCATACTAAATGTTATGTCTTTGCTCAAAATGGGAATAAGCCCAGCATCTACAGACTGGTTAGTTAAGCCTCAATGATAGAAAAGCTTTTAGAAGCAAAATCCAAGAACACAATTAATTCACATGGACAAATAGGCATCAAGTAAAGAAAACCAGCAACAGATCTGTTAAAGACAAATCATGTTTAGTGCACGAATTTGAGTTTGTTAATAAAATGCATTGATTGTGTGTAATGCAATTGATTTTGTATTCATGAATTTCCACAAAGCATTTAATAAAGGCCAAACCAATTGGCTTTTCAGCAAATTTGAAACCCCTGTACAAAAGGTACAGCGATAATAAGGATACAGGGCAGCATGGATACTACAAAACTGTTTGAACACCTAGAACCAGAGTGAACTGTTGCATTTCTTAGAGCACTGTAATTCCGGCCACCAAACAGGAAAAGGAACTTGGCACCTCCTGTCAATCAGTGCAACTGCAGTTGTACCTGCTGCTGACACGGTTATCCACTGTTGCTCCTCCTATCAACAGGGGTATTCCCCTTCCCTTCCCCTCCTTTCTGACTCCTTCCCCACCCATCTTGAGTGGGAACAAGACCAGTGTTATGTTCTTTTCTGTCTTGATATGATCCAATGATCTTTGTTACAGGCATGTGCAGGAATTAGTACTGCAATTACATGCACAGGGAGCGATTCCTCTGCAGTTCTGACATAGGTCTCAGGTTTGCCCAGGACTGGATATTACGACACAAGGAAAGATTTCTGTTATCGCCATATGACAAGAAATTGTCATGAAGGAGTTGCAGAAAGCAAGTTTAAAGGTTTGTGAATATTCTGGAGGAAACTGCAGAACAAGGTGATGACTGACTGTCCACCAGCATGGCCAAGCAGACTAGAAAATGGGTATGAGAACATAAGAAACAGGAACAGGGGTAGGTTATTTAACCCGTCAAGCCTGATATGCCATATAATACAATAATGGATGATATGCCCCAGGCCTCAACTTCTCTTATGTGCCAAATCCTCACGGCCCTCAACTCCACAATATTTCAAAAACCTACCTACCTCCCATTTTAACGCTTTCAGTAATACAGCCTTCACATTGCTCAGAGGTAGAGTATTCTAGACATTTACTAATTCTGGGAGAAAAGGTGTTTTTCTAAACTTCAAGTAAATAAATACCTAATGTTTTTGGCTATCCTTCTTAAGTCAACTGCCTCATCCCAGGAAGTAGCTTGGTGATTTTTTTTTTGAACAGCCTCCAATGCCCATACGTGCTTCCCACCACCCCACCTTAAAATTTGGGGAAACCATAGAGTCCTCCAGGTACAGCCTTTTCAACATCCTGTACATTTGTACCAACTGTGGTTCCCTATTCTTGAACTCCAAACCCCTAACAATGGTGAAATTCTATTTGCTTTCTTAACTACATGCTGAACCTGCATGCTAAACGTTGTTTTTCACGCACAAGAACAACCAGATCCTTCTGTACTGCACTTTTTTTTTTGAAGTCTTCCTCTATTTAAATAACAGTCTGCCTTATGATTCTGCCTAATAAAGAACGTGACCTTGCACTTTCCTACATTAAACTTCACCTGCTGGGTTTTTGCCCGCCCAATCTATCTATATCCACTTGCAGATGCCCTACCAAAACATGCCCTCTCACATACTTTTGTATGAGAAGCAAACTTGGATACATGACACTGTGCCCTTTCCTCCAAGTCCTTAATATGGATAATAAATAATTGAGGCCCTAGGACTGATCCTTGTGGCACTCCAGTAGTTATGTCTTCCAGTCTGAAAAAGACCCATTAATCCTGATGCTTTGTACCTTGTTTATTAACCCCAACACCATGAGATCTGATACTGTGCAACAATCCTTACATAGCATCTTACTGAATGTCTTCTGGAAATCCAAAAAACTGTATCTACCTGTTCCCTTTTAACAAATCTGCTTACAGTATCCTCAATGAACTCTTGAAAATTTGTCAAATATGACTCCCCTTTCACAAAACCATGTTGACTCCATACGGATTGATAATGAAAGATGTTAATCCCCAAGGAACGAGATGGGCAGGGTAGTCAATATCAATGAATTTCATGCAGTAGGCTACCTCTTAAAAAGCAGGTAGTGACGATGACTTTGTTTCTTATCATTCAAGCAATTTTGTATCCACATGCTACAGACCCTTTGATTGCAAGTCGTGGAACTTTCATCAAGTCTATTGTGCACCACTGTAACTCTTACCTTGTGGAAGCCCGTGCATATCACATACAGCATGACCCTCATCAACGCTCTCTCCATTATCTCTTAAAATCATTCCAGCAAGTTAGTTAGACATGATCATTCCTTCACAAATCTGTCCTAGCTCTTTAGAACTAACACATTTTTCCATGCTATTCATATTTCTCCCACTACCCCTCTCCAATCCTGACCCCTTATGAACTTTAAGTACCAACAGCTTATCCAATACCTGGTCAATTTTAAGCCCTTCTAATGAATGATTTTCATTTTCCATCACCAGGGAAGCAACTACCTCACTGGGAAAGAGAAATACAAACTATTAATTTAAGATCTCAGCCATGTGCAATAGGTTTAATGAACCTGCAATTGAACTAAGGAGGAGTTTAAGGATGATAAGCTAGATTTAAAGGATTGGTTTGGAGCTGGCTTGTTGGAAGGAGAAGAGTTGCAGAGATGGAGAGAATCTAAGGCTGACCAAGAGCAACTTGTTTTTTGGGGACCAAGAATTGCTCAGTGTGCATTGTGTATTATGTTCAAACATCCTAATATTTAATAAGCTAATAGCTGATTTAAAACAGAATGAGCAACTTGCTAGATCTGCCAAGTATATGTACTACAGTGGTGTACATTGGAGTGCCCAGGGCTCAACTAATTCATATCATCTAGATTATGCCTTTACAGAAGTCAAAAATTACTTTAAATGATTTGACTAAAGTTAACATAATTTACCCGTTGTAGTCTTTCCTTCTGATCGAAGTCTTTTTCCTGTTCTTAAGTCTGGTCTAATGGATTGATTGGCACAGTCATAGGTTGTTCGAAAGGACTTGCGAGGTGTAGTATCAAAACGTTTATCATCTTCTATCAGAGCGTTTGACCCCTCCACAGCCATTTTTGCCATGTTGTTTTCCAGCATTTTGGGATACATGCCATGATTGCAATTCAAAGCATGTGCTATATGTGCAGATTCACTGCTCATGTTAGATGTTGATTTAATTCTACTTCCAGTGACCATATTAACTCTCTCAGCAGAATGACCCAATTCTTCATTTTCAACTGAATCTAAATGCATACTTGCTGCAGCTAAACTACTTTCTTCTACCATTACTCTTTTCCCTTTAGCAGTTTGAAATCCAGACATGAAAACACTCTTCTTTGAATAATCTGCTAAACTGCTTGTTGATCTATTGATCTCCCTTTCACTTAACTCTACCTGGGGAGAATTTTGCAATACTGAAACATTCCCTGCAGCATTATTTGATAATTTATGAATCAATTCTGAACTTTCTTCTTCACACATTTGTTCCCTGCTCATAGCAGTATTAAAGAACAATGAAGAAGAACAGGTAGATGTTAACAGAATCTGAGGTTTTTTGCAAAATGCAGTTTTTGAGCTAACAGTAGAAGAATCACTACTGACAAATTCTTGTAACATATGCTTAACTTTCTGAAGTGCATCATCAGAAACAAAAACAGATTTTCCGCTTGCTGTGCTGAACCCAAGAGGTGTCTTTTTGCTGGAAGTGTCTAGATTCCATGTTTCTTCAGAAAGTTTGTTTTCCTTGGAGTTTACACCATTGTCCATAATCTTAAATTTTTCATTAACTCCCACATCATTAAGTAAGTGTTTGCATTTCTTCAAAGATTCTTCTGAAACACTTACAGACTTGCCACTTGCTGTGCCGAAAGCAATAGATCCAGTACTAAAAAATTGTTGAGAAGGCTCAAATACATGAAAATCGTCTTGATCTGAAGTTGAAATTTTGCTGTCCCCAGGCTCATCAACTGAACATTTGTCGTGTATATTTTTCAAATTTGTCTCACTTACTGAAACAACGTCACCATTTGCAGTGTAGAACCCTAACGATTGCTTAACTGGAAGAACAGTTATCCGGTTAATCATATTTAACCTCTGTGGAAGGTTAGCTTCTCTATCATTTAAAATATTTTCCTCAGAAAGCATTTTTTTATTGTCTGCAGATGACATTAAATCATCTTGAATTCCCAATTTATCAAAATCCTCTTCAACAAACAAAGCCCTTCCTTTACTTAAGGCCATTTCTGACACATTAACTCTTTTACCACTAGCAGTCTGGAAACCTCTCGTTTCTGTACTGTTGGACAGATCCAAATGCTCAGACATCGGTTTGCTTTGAAAAGAAAATTGATGCAATTCACTTTTAGAATTCATAAGGTGAAGCAGTTCAGGACTGTGGGCATTCATCAACTGTTTCTTCTTTTCACTCTGAATTACTGGTGAACCAGTATGTGGACAAGCAGACACAACGGAAAATGTTTCACCAGAACATGTTATAGGTTTATGCAATATGTCCTCCTCAGCAAATAGAACTTTTGCTTTATCAAGAGATGCTTTGCATACAGGAACTAACTTACCACTAGCAGTTTGAAATCCTTTCATACCAGTGTCTGGAGCAGCAAACAGGGAACTATTTTGAATGGAATTAGTTTCAGAAATATTGCTCTCAGAGTGAACTATAAATGTAGGACAAACTGTCACATTTAATTCTGTCTGACTTCTCCTTCTTTGATCGCCGAGTTGCATACTTGTATCATTTTTCACCACATGGCTTTGTAAAATATTTATACTCTCATCAGGTTGTTGAGGTGCATTTTGTGCTACTTCAATTGGTAGCTTGGAGTTTTGCCAGTTTTCAATACAGGAATCTTCAGTCTCAAATAAACATTTTGCTTTATCCAAGTGTCCTTTAGACACTGTGACTCTTTTACCACTTGCAGTCTGGAAACACTTTATTTCAGGATCAATTTTACTGTTAACTAATTCCTTGTTCCCAGTGTCTTCTGTGCCATTGTAGAAAGGCTGCCATGTGCTCTTTTCCCAAATTGCATTTTTAACTGTACTCTGCTGCCCAATGCTCTCAGTGTCAGAATTTTTCAAGACATTTGGGTCAGTGGTCAAATATACTGTTTTATCTGGAGTTGCTTCTTCCGATTTAGCGAACCTCCTAGACCCCACTGGCTGGAAACCTCTTAGGTTTTTATCACCGATCTCAATTTTATGGCTATTTTTTAATATCTTCTCACTATTTTTACTGTAAACGGAAGAATGACAGTCAAGCGCTGCACACAGCTGGTGTGACTCATTAGCTTTTAGAGTTTTTTGATCATCTGATTTATCGTCAATTACTTTTTCAGACTTGGTCACAGAATTTTCTAGTAAATACCCAAAACCATTAATTGCATTATTCCGAGCAGCAGTTTGATCATTGTCAAAGTCCTCAAAAATTTTTGCTGCTTTTCTCAGACTCTCTACAGAAAGCTTTATTTTATTCCCACTTGCTGCACAAAATCCTCCATACTCCCCCTTAAATCTCATATCATCATTCAGGGATTGAACTGCCTGACCAAGCGGTTTGATTTTAACATCTGAGCCAAGTTCCATACAGCTCACACCGACATTTGGTACTGTAGATGATGCAGTGTCTTTCTCTTCATTACTCAAGGCAAAGGAATCAGCAAGTTTATTTACTATCATTTGCTGTATTTCTTCCACATTCCGACGACAGATTTCAGGTGTGGTGCTCATTTTTGAGGAATCTGCATGCTGATGGGAGTTACATGACTTGTTATCCAACTGCACTGAAGGTTCAATGTCCAAACTTTTACAAAAATTAATATCCTTCCATTTTTCCAACATAGGAGCTGGGGAAGTCTGATCTAAATGCTCAGTAATCAGAAGGTCGGTATCTTTGCTTGTTACTTTGACTGTAGACTGATTACTAAACTGCATACATTCAAACTGGTTATCTGTATCCTCTAACATACGAAACAATTCTGTTAGTTCTGTTTGACTAGCAGTTAAATATGTGCATTTGTCAAGCAACTTTGGCTGAGATAAGATTAAAGAGGAATCAAACATTTTTGTTTCTCCATTGGCAGATGGGGGCTGTTTAACATTTTCAGTGGTAAATTTGGGTTCAGGGGATTTAGTTTTAATCTTCTCTTTGGCTGAAGAGAAAGGACTATTACTTTCTAGACTCCCGAATTTATTTTTTGAAGCGGCACATTGAATAACAACTTCCTGTGCAGAGTTTACTTCTAAGTTTTCATTTTTAAGTTTTCCTTTTGAAATGGTTTCAGCAGATAAATCTGTGCACTGTTGAACAGGTTTCAAGCAATTGAGCCCATCTTGACAAGATTCAGAACTTCCAGATATCAGTTGATTGTGTGCGTTTTCTGAAATTGTACAAGTTTCTTTTGTCACTGACATAGAACTGATCTCACCTTGTGCACTCTGAGATTTCATTCTGCATGAATTTTTATCTTCTTCTGTAACCTCAAGAGACTGATACAATTGTGCTCCAGTGTTGGAGGCAGAAGTAACTTCCTTTCTTCCCTTGTGAGAATTCATACATCTTGGTGTCAATTTGAAAGATTCATTCATAGTAATTTCAAAAGCAGATATAGTGGAACATGGTATATTCTTGCCTTCTGTAAAAGCACTTTCCATATATTTTGTTTCACATTCTGGCAATGACTGCACGAATAGAGGTTTTGAAGAAGTCAAGAATGCCTCATTGTCTATTTCAGCAATTAGTTTTCTCCTCTTCAAAGTGGATGCCAAAACTGCAATTTTTCTATTACCAGTGTGGAAATCCGCATTAATAGTACACTGTCTCTTTTTAGCTTCTACACAAGTATAGGAGTCAAGTTGCTGCCTTTCATTTGGTAAACCCTTGTTAGTATCAAGACTTCCCTCTAATTGTTTCTCTTTACCCAAAGAAGTTGATATCTCCGTATTGCCTCGTGGCCTTAGTTGACAGAGTTCAGAAAAAGTAACTTTTTTTTCCAAAGTTCCCTTACATTTAAGATCATAAAGTTTCTTTGTTTTATGCAAAATATTAGTGATACAGGAGGACTGAGATGATACTGTATGAGATATTATTGAAGTGCAGGATAGTTTCTTGGTTGATAATTGTGTAGAAGTTGGTAAAAAGACAGAATTGCTGTCAGGCTTGTCATGGATAGCGGTGTTTCCACCAAGTTTTGTTTTACTGCAATTATAATGCAAAGGACTTTGATTGGCATCAGGTAAAGGTGAAAATCTAAGCTCAAAATAGGACCTTCCCTTATTCTCCATAATACTGTTTTCAATTACACATGTCCTCTCTGGCTGAACAGAGTTAACAACTGAAAGTACATGACTGTCCTCAGCACCTTCAGCCTGGGCACCAAAATGATTAGTCAACACCACTTCAGACTCAAAAGCTAACGTTTTAGCCACCGTGTGACAAGCTGTGGCAAAAATTCTACCGTCTCTTCTGTCGCAAGAAACAGGCTTGCTGTTCACAAAATGATCCCAAATCTTGCCGTTACTTGAAGCATTGGATACATTTTCACCAGTTTCATCAGTAAAATGTTGAGGCAATACTCCATTTTCTACACTGTCACATTCCTTTGGAAGACAATGATTCTGTTGCAGGTTTTCATTTGCTTCAGAGTGATCGATGCCAGGATCATCAATACTGGTAGCCACTTTGTTTTCTCGGCAAGCAGCTGAAGAAGTGAAACCTGAAAACAGAAAAGTACTTTGAAAATTTTAAAAAACAACAAAACTCACGTCGCAAGACTATATAAATAAAACTAATGTCAAATATACAAATCACATCAGAAACAAATTAGCAACACTGAACAGTATTTTTAAGCGAAACAATTCATTTAATTTTTAAAACGCAAAATAAAATCTAGTGCTAAGCCAAGTTTGATTTATTTTCAGTTTGCAGGAGATTCTGGAAAGATTGTACTAATTTGGCATTTCTTAACTCTGTCTTGAGGGGAGGATGAAAATTCTGCAATAACTAAATAACTATGCATTCCTATGAACGATGACCTCCTTCACAATTATATGCATTTTACTACTATATCCCCAAATCAGTATTTGCTAGGTTGTCGGTTATTCACACAATAAAATTTGTTATAGACTAAATTTTGCTTCAATGCATTCATTTGTACATAATGTTAAGCTTTAATATTTAATATGTTTTTGCACATGAAGCTATCTGTAATTCCCCACAGAGTTTAAAAACTGTCAGAAACTAGTCACTATTCTTTTTGCAATGCATAACAAAGTAAATTAACAGTCTAACAGAAAGGAAGGACTATGCTCAGTTCATGTATATTACAACATTTAGTTTAAAGTCACTTATTTATAGAGCATCTAAAATTGCAAACATTTTAGGGTGCAAAAGAATAAAGTACAATAATATCACAGGGGGAGTTAAACCTTTCGCAGACTCTGTTCGCTTTCTAGAATCTTGAGCAGATAATTTGCAGAATCGCTGCTCTAATGTTGGCTGAATCACTGTTTTATTTTGCGATTCCGTTATGTCCAGAGAGATGTTCTCTTGTGCTTGATGATTTGAAGGATCTTGCACAGTGTAAACAAATTTCCTTGGACGCCCTTTCAGACTAGAAAGCCAAAGGTCTTCCTCATTTACTTGACATTTTATCAAATCCTGAACCAGTGAGGGATTTTTAGCTGCATCTGGACATGTCACACAGTCAACACCGTCCCTGAGCATTCTCGAATCTACAGCAGATTGACAGGGAATATTGTCATCACTGAGGGAGTCTGTAAAACTGACTTTCTGATCTTCCAAAGAAGTTATGGGCTGTATTGAATTCACTTTATTTTCAAGGTTATTTCCCTCCTTCATATGTGTTCTTTCGTTCTTGCAAAAGGGAAAAAGTCTGATTGCTCCAGTTTCTGAATTCGAATCCAACCATTCCTCAACAAATGGTTGAACTGGTGTTGAATCATCAGTTTTATAATAATCTGTGCAAGGAATTTCAGAAGTGGGCAGCTTTGACAACTGCATTCTACCATGAGCATGATTTGGAGTACTTGCTTTCACTTCTGCTCTAGAATGCTTTGTGCTTTCATCAACTGTGCTGAAATCATAAGCAAATGCACAATGATTAAAATTAATCTTTGGTGTGGTTATTTCGCCTGTTAAAGAATGAGAGGTTGGCCTCTGTAATATTGGAACTATATTTTCACAGGTCACAGAACTGGATCCTTTATCAATGTTTTCTTCTAAAGCATTACCCAATTGCTGATTATTAGCTTCTCCATTAGAAATGAGTTTTGGATCACCAACATTTTTCAAACACAATGCAGCTGTAGAAGAATTTGCAACATCAGAGTATTCATTCATCAAATGGTTCTCATCAAGTTCTGACAGATTTAGCTGAGACCAGTCAGATGATGAAGAAGTTATATTATGAGCTGATAATTCCTTCTCTGAACGTTTGTCACGTAAGTGACCATCAGGATTCTGGTTTAAATTGACGACCAAGTTATCTGCATTCAAAAAAATCTGTTTGGTATGGCTCTCTTTAACTGGACTAAGAGTCAAGTTATTTGAAAACATATTGCAGTCTGATTCAGCCACGATGCATTCCAAACATTTTTCATCAGTAGAGCAAGGTGATAAAGCTTTAATAGTGTTTGACTGAAAGTTGCGAACTGTAGAGTTTTGTATTCTCTCTCTAGAATAGGATTTCACTCTTCTTAGTCCCAAATGTGTAGACTCAGTGAAAGGCATTGATTCATCAGAGACAGTCCTAGAAATAAACAGCTTCTCATCTTCATCGCTTTTCTTATTAGATAAACTGTTTGGGTCATCTCCAGGCACTGAAAAACACACAACAGTTAACCTTTTTAAAAAAAAGGAGTATGTGTCCCCACTCAAACAAGGCCACCACCTTGTGCAAGTAGCCATCAGAATATCAGTCAGCTGCAACTGTATGCTAATCGCTAGTATGTGCATGCACAGATTGGTCAAGAAACGTAACTAACAGAGACCCGCTCAGAACATCTGTTAAGACAGTACTGGTTTAAAATGTAAAGAATTAAGCTTTATACAAATTCATTGTTAAAACACTACCAAAAGCAGTGTTCATGAAAAATGCATTTTACAGGTTGTGGTTCTATATGGACAGCTCTGGCAGTTCAAAGGGATTTATTCAGTCTTGTTTAACAACACCCAGCTTCTGTTCACAGTAGTGGTTCAAGAAGGCAGCTCATCATCACATCTTAAGGGCAACAAGGACGGCAATAAATGCTGGCCTACATCTCGGCAGCAACACCCACATCTCATGATGGAACTTCTTTTTAAAAGAAGTTTCGCTGCATGGTTGTCACTCCTTCAAGAAATAACTCCTCAGAACATGCCAAGCATTTTTATATCAGCAGGGCAATATCTAGATATCTTGATGTGATGTGGTTCAAAGTAAATTTTAACATACATCTCAAGAGGTTTGCAGGGGGTTGGGGGTGGGGGAGGAACAAAAATCACTCTCCGTTTGACAGAGTGAAAATTACTTCTTGCACATTATTCTGCAACCATTTTCTTGACATCGGATAGGATCTCTGGCTTCCAACAGAGAGCCAATATTCACATGTTTGTCTCCACCTTGTACTGTGAATATACAGGCAGTGCCATCTTTGTGACAGCTGTCTGTCTCAGTCACTTCAGTAACGTAGCACCACAACACTGACTAGGCACATGCAGAACCACACCATGTCAACTAGCAATGGTGTGGATAATAAAGTTTTAAAAAACATTAAAAATGCTTAATTATCAGAGCATATAGCTTGAACAGCTTACAGGAGACAGAGGGTGGTGGTGGAGTGTTGATTTTCAACCAGAGGCCTGTGACCAGCAATGTCCTGTAAGAATTGGTGCTGGGTCCACTGCTTTTTGTCATTTATATAAATCATTTGGGTGTGAATATAGGAAGTATGGTTCCTAAGTTTGCAGGTGACACCAACATTTGTGGTGTTGTGGACAGCGAGGAAGGTTACCTCAGAGGACAACGGAACTGATCAGATGGGCAAGTGGGCCAAAGAGTGGCAGATGGAGTTTAATCTATAAATGTGAAGTGCTGCATTTTAGAAAGGCAAATCAGGGCAGGACTTGTACACCTAATGGTAAGGTCCTGAGGAGAGCTGCCTAACAAAGAGACCCTGGGCTGCAGGTTCATTGTTCCTTGAAAGTGAAGTCACACGTAGTCAGGGTAGTGAGGGTGGTGTTTGGTATACTCGCCTTTATTTGTCAGTGCTTTGCGTATAGGAGCTGGGAGGTCATGTAGCAGCTGTACAGGACATAGGTTAGGCCACTTTTGGAATATTGCGTTAAATTCTGGTCTCACTGCTATGGGAAGAATGTTGTGAAACTTGAAAGGGTTCAGACAAGATTTGCAAGGATGTTGCCAGGGTTGGACAGTTTCAGTTAAAGGACTCTTAAGAGTTTTTTGAAAAGGTAACCAAGAGGATAAATGATGGTAGGGCAGTGGATATTGTCTACATGGACTTTAGTAAGACCTTTGACATGGTCCAGCACAACAGGCTAGTCATAAGGTTAGGTCGTGTGGGATCTAGCTAGCCAATTGGATTCAAAAACTGACTCCACGGTAGGAAGCAGAGGGTGGTTGTTGAAGGTTGTTTCATAGACTGGAGGCCTGTGACTAATGGTGTGCCATAGGGGTCGATGCTGGGATCTTGGTTACTTGTTATTACATAAATGATCTGGATATGAATGTTCAAGGCACGGTTAGCAAGTTTGCGGATGGTACAAAATTAGGAGGTATAGTTGATAGCGAAGATGGTTATCAAAAATTACAGAGGGATCTTGATCAGATGGGGAAATGGGCTGAGGAATGGCAAATGCAATTCAATACAGGTAAGTGTGAGGTGTTGTACTTTGGAAAGTCAAACGAAAGTAGGACTTATACAGTAAATAGTAAGGTCCTGAGGAGTGTTGTAGAACAGAGGGACCTAGGAGTACAAGTACATAGTTTGTTGAAAGCAGTGTCACCCCATACAGACAGGGTGGTGAAGGAGGTGTTTGGCATGCTGGCATTCATCAGTTGAGGCACTGAGTATCGGAATTAGGACGTTATGTTACATTTATATAAATCATTGGTGAGGCTGCACTTGGAGTATTGGGTACAGTTTTGGTCACCCTGTTATAGGAAAGACATAGTTAAACTAGAAAGTGTGCAAAGAAGATTTATGAGGATGTTGCCAGGACTGAGTTATAGGGACAGGTTGGCCAGGATAGGACTTTATTCTTTAGAATTTAAGAGATTAAGGGGTGACCTTATTGAGGTGTAAAAAATCATGAGGGGCATTGGTAGGATGAATGCATACAGCCTTTTCCAGGGATGAGGAATTGGAAATGAGAAGGCAGAGGTTTAAGGCGAGAGGGGGAAGATTTAAGAAGGACCTGAGGGGCAACTTCTTCACGCAGAGAGTAGTGTGTATGTGGAATGGACTGCCAGAGAAAGTGGTTGAAGCAGGTACAATAGCAACATTTAAAAAACATTTGGATAGGTACATGTTTGGGAAGGGTTTAAGAGGGATATTGCTTGCGTTTGGTCCATTGGAACTAGCCGAGTGGGCACCATGGTCAGCATGGACCAGTTTGGGCTGAAGGACCTGTTTCCATGCCATATTACTCTATGACTGTATGATGAACAGGCTGGGGCTATTTTCCCTGCAGTGTCGGAGGCTGAGGGGTGACCTTATAGAGGTTTATAAAATCATGACAGGCATGGATAGGGTGAATAGCCAAGGTCTTTCCCCTGGGTAGGGGAGTCAAAAACTAGGGGGCATTGGTTTAACTTGAGAGGGGAAGATTTAAAAGGGACCTAAGGGACAACTTTTTCACACAGAGGGTGGAGCATATATGGAATGAGCTACCGGGGAGGTGGAGGAGGCTGGTACAATTACAACATTCAAAAGGCATCTGATGGGACATGAATAGGAAGGGTTTGAGAGGGATATGGGCCAAATGCTGGCAAATGGAATGGATTAATTTAGGATATCTGGTCGGCATGTACAAGTTGAACCAAAGAGTCTGATTCTGTGCTGTACATTTGTGATGCAAGTAAAATGCACCAAGAGCATTATCAAACAAAACTGAATGATCCACATATGATTTTAGCAGAAGTTGGTGGATTGGTCACTTGGTCTTTCCAACCTTCTCCCCTATTCATTAAGACCAGAGCTGATCTGAATATGTCCTTAATTCAATTTCTCTACGTGTCTCCCAAAGCCCTCTACTCCCTTGATCAAAAAAATGTCTACATCAGTCTTTAACTTATTTAAACCACTGCTCTCTGGGGTAGACAATGCCAAAGATTAGCAATCAAGAGATGAGAGAGGATTTCATTTCTAACTGCTCTACTCATTCTAAACTCCCACAAAGGGCAAATCATAGTACCCCTACAGTGTGGAAACAATCCTTTGGCCCAATAAGTCCACACTGACCCTCCGAAGAGCATGTCACCTTATCCCTACATCCCTGCACCTCCCATGGCTAATCTGCCTAGCCTACACACCCCTGGACGTTACAGGCAATTTAGCATTGTCAATCCACCCAGCCTGTACGTCTTTGGATTGTGGGTGGAAACCAGAGCACCCGGAGGAAACCCACGCAGACACGGAGAGAACATGCAAACGCCATACAGTCGTCCGAGGGTGGAATCGAATACGGGTCCCTGGTACTGAGGCAGCAGTACTAATCCCAAAGCCACAATGCCACATATTCAGTCAGCATCCACCTTCTTAAAGCTCCTCAGAATTTTAAGTTTCAATATGATCACCTTTCCTTCTTCTAATCTCCAATGAGTACAGACCTGACCTGCTCAACATTTCCTCATAAGAAAACCTCTTCATCCCATGAATTAATCCAGTAGATCTTTGCTGAACTGTCTCCGATGCAAATATATCCCCCTCAAATAAGGAAATCCAAAGAAGTTGATATTTATCTCTGTTTCTGTTTGAACCTAGAATATGGAGCCTTTTTGGCAGATGAGAAAAGGACCCAACAGTACTTAATGTGGTCCAGTCAAAGACAGCAGTGAGTAGTTAAATGAATATGGCAGACACCTGATTTAAGTTTGCAGCTGTTGGACTTAAATAAACAGTGATGACAACTGTACCAGGGGAATGGCCAGAGTTAGAGAGAGCAAAGACTTTAATGGGGTCAGGGACATTGAAGATGGAGGTGAAGTATATTAGTAATTGCAAAAATATCATGCTGAGTGTAAGATGAAGACCAGAATTGGGGTTTTAAAAAGTGTGATGGTAAATTAATTGGGAATAGTAGCAGCATAGAAGAAGTAGGGTTGAGAGAAGAAAGGGAGAAGTGGATAGGGAATGACAGAAATAACTGATAAGAGGTGGCTTTAACTGTAACTACATCAGATAAGAATCTATTAGTACAGGGGACCAAAATGTTGGGAAAACAATAAGATTTAAAAAAAAGTGTCTTAGAATGGAGAAAAATCTAGAATTTAGGTGTCAGGCAGGTGAAGCATAGTTACCGATGGTAAAGCAATGAAAATCACAGATTACCAGGGGTCAGAGCTGGAGATATTCAATTCCTTACATTTTCACTTAATTTGAATGATACAAAATAAAAACTTGCCATGACTCTGATTAACAGCTTCCACTTCTTCACTTTCCTCCTCCCCAATTACAGACATTGCATGGATACTGTTTAGACCAACAGCAAATGCATCGCATTGTATATTTAAATTGCTGTGTAAAAGCTGAAGACAAATGAATAACTGATTAGAATGTCAACAGAACAAAGAACAGTTTAAATCAAGTTTTTTAAAAACCTTTTTAAAAAGCTTGGAGCAACAGGTCAATTACTTTGTGATTCCATTTGTAAGGCTAAGTGATCAGTGTTCCTGTCAACAGTATTCTTTTATAATAAAAGTATGCCACTTTTCTAGATTTTTGGTGAAAGGTAATAGTTAAATAGGACCATTGGGCTGCTCTCTTGCAAATTTATGATGGGTTTTACTCAAGGGTCATCATGCCTCAGGCAAGGGTGAGAACACAGGACCTCATGGTAACCTCAGCCTGTGCAGGTATTAAACCTAAGCTATTGGTGTCACTCTACATCGCAAACCAGCTGCCCAGCCAACTGTGACTTTGATCACAATTTCAGAGACTAGCACAGTCACTGCAAAGTGGAATGTTAGTGTTGATATTGATCAAGATCTCTATCTTACAGCATGGTCAATTAAACAAGGCCAGTTTTATTTGAAGCCATTCACCTTACAAAGAGGCTATTTCTAGGACACCCTCTTCTCACATTAGCTCATCTTATGGCATTGTGAACGAGCAAGTATCGAGAACATCCAAGTGGCATGGCAATCTGCGTTAAGTGACTTTCCACTGCTCGAGTTACTTCAATAGAATCAGTTGGAAACTTGACAGGTGAGTTCAATACTACCATAATTATGCAGATCTTTATTCGGAGGAATATTAGCACTAGTCATCACTTACGATAAAAATCATTACAACTTATAAACAAAAACATAGAAGAAAAAAATCTCACACCACGCAAGCTCTGACAGATACATAACTTACTAAAGGCACTTGTACTTCCTTTGGCCTGTCTTGAGGCAGGTTATTTTCTCTGGCTGAAAAGCACAACAAATGGTTTATGAAGCAACATGTAAATTTCCCATAGGCAACTGAGTTGTATCACTCACCTCTAAAATCCAGATTCTAAGGCTATGGTTCAAAAAGCAAGGAATCTATTTCTGGACACCATGGGAATCAGGATCCAGGTGACAGTTATGATTTCAGAAAATAAGCTGAAGTTCAGAAAGTTCTGTAAACCTGCCAAACTAACAACAAAGGTACATGGGGACAGGGGAACAGCACCACGTGCATGTTACCCTTCAAGTCACTCACCATCCTGACTTGAAAATATATAAGCAATTCCTTCAAATGTCGCTTGGGTCAAAATCCTTGAATCCACTAACTAAACAGAATTGTGGTTCTACCTACAGCACAGGGACTACAGAAGACAGCTTACCACCACTTTCTCAATGGCAACTAAGATTGGGCAATAAATACTGGCCCAGCCCATGTCCCAGGAGTGAATAACAAAAAGCATAAAGTCCATGCAGACTCTACAAACACGATTCTCATCCACACACAAGTCACCTTGTCAAAAAAATCCAATCAAATTTTTTTTAGAAACGATGGAGTAAATGAACACTCAAGTTTTCAGTTAATCAGGGACAGCCAGCGTGGATTCATGACAGCTAGGTCATGCCTGACAAAGCTCAAATGATTTGTTTGAAGAGGTGACTGAAAGAGGCTCAAAAAATGTTTTTGTGCTGTGGACAGAGCCAAAGGAATGAGAGAGATGAACAGATGGTGTGGATGTATAGAGCTAAAGACAAAGGGGTTGCTATTTGTAGTGAAAGAGAAATAGAAGTATAATGAGCGTAAATGAAGATTTGTAAGGGAGAAAATGGGCGTGTCCTTCAGACAGCAGAGTAAATAAGGCATGAACCAAGACGTGGTCATACGGGGAGGGGAAGCAAAAAAAATGAGGACAAACTTCATGCTTTGAACAGTCGCAGTCATGAAGCATAGAAACAAGCCAACCAACAAATGCCAAATTACATGCTCATCCAGCTGCTTCTCTAATGTTGCGAGAGGACCGGCCTCCACTACCATCTCAGGCATCTATATTTTCACCAGCCTGAGTGAGAAAAAATGTCAGATCTCCTCTAAACCACTTACACCTTACCTTAAACACGTCTGCAATAGGGAAAAGATGCAAAGGCATATCGTAAATATGGTTATTTATCAATGATCTACCTCTCCAAAAGGATTTTCTCTTGTTTGAACAATTCCTAAAAACTCAGTTTTCCACCTAGATCTTCTTAAAGCTAATTTTGCTTTCTTGCACCTGCTTTCATTTCTGTCCATTTGAGCCTCAAGGCAGTGTTGTGCTCTCTGTGCTGACTGTGTGTGTAATAACATTTCACTTTATTCCTTGCCTGGCTGAAAACACTCCTAGTGACTTCGCTCAGCACCCATAACTTCACTGCAGCAGTGTCCTAGAGTCGAAGAGCAAAGTATGATCACAAAAGATTTGAGTGAGGAAGCCCATTCTCATGTCATTCATGCATTTCATGCATCCCATCTTCAATCAACATAGATTGTGTTTTGTCTCCACACTCGTTATTCATTCTAGTGGTGTGGGAAGCACTAACAATGCTGACATTTAGTGACCCTTCTTAACAGTTCAGTGGTTTGATATGCCATTGGTAGAGATATTCAAAAGAACGGACTGAAGGATTCAAAATCATGAGGATCTTGTATACAGTAAATAGGGAAAAACTGTTTCCCTTAGTGGAAGAATCAAGAACAAGACGACATAAATGCAAAGTAAGCAGCAAAAAGGAGAATTAGTAGCATAAGGAAAGTCCATTTCACCCAGTGAATAGTTAGGATCTTGAAGACATTGACTGAGAATGTGGTAGAGGTAAGTTTAGTCAAAGTATTCAAAGTAGATTATTATCTGAAAGGAAGGAATGTTCAGGACTGAAAATAGGAAAAGGTAGGGGGCTGCCAATAGGTGAACTGCTCCTTTGGACAGCCTGCACAGATATGAAGAGCCATGTGGTTTCCTTCCGGGCTATAACAATTCTGAGATTACATTTTACTAAAAAAAAATAAAAGCAGCATCTCTTTCCCTCCTGCAAAGAATTCCCATTTGCTCTAAATTCCTGACTTTGTTCATAATGTTAACTACGCATCTGTGATCTCTCTGTGCACCCCCACTAGTCTGCAGTATGGTTCCCAGACTTGAACAAAACAACCCAGCTGAACCTTAACATGGTGAAGAGGCAAAGAGTGACAAGCCTAATTCTAAGAGCTAAGCATGAATAATGACCAAACATTTAGCATTCAAGAAGCCATAAAGCTAAATTGATTAACAAATCATTAAGTGAGCTTCTTAGAAATCCATTTTTGCAACAGCTGGTAAATATGCAAAATAATCTTAAATTGTAAAGCGGTACATTCAATAAAATTGGAAGTGGACAGGAATGTAGCTGATGCTCGCTTAAGTGAGTTGGAGTTCTAGAGGGAAAGGTTCTCTAGGCCCAAGAACAAATAACACAAATAAATCACTCTGCCAAACCAGCCAGCTTTGCCATGTCAGCTCTATCTTTTCAGCAGTCTCGTGCCTTTTTCTACATTCATAACATATTGCCAAGTGGACATCAATGCCCCGTTGAACACCTCAATTGATTTTGCATCTTTGGCCAACTGGAACAGAGAGACCCATATTTCCAAATATGTAATTTGAAAACAATTTTACTGAGCTCCAATTCTAAGTTTAATTCTAGATTCTCCTACTCAAGGGAAGAAATTATCTTTATTTTTCAAAAAGCAATGATCAGAATGGAAATATCTCAATCAAGTTACATTAAACAAGAGAATGATGAAATATTTCTTCTATTAATACAAAATTGGCCAAAATAAAAATTACTTCCAAATGACAACTTTCCAAGCTTGGAACATTTGTGATTACCCTGTTCACAATCCTCAAACATTTGATATACTATACAGAATAAAAATTAAACTAAAGACAACTAGCAAAATCTACCTGCCTCTTTGTAATTAATAATCTGTATGATCTGTTACAAAAAGAAACAATTATAAAATTGACAGCACTAAAATCTATTTGCTGAATTAAATAAAGCTGCTTGCTTCCAAGGCTGAAACTACTTCGACCACTCACCTTTACATATAATGACTGTTGGATTCAATGATGGAGGAGTTGCTAACGAACTGGTCCAAGACATGTCAGGATCCATCTCAACCCCAAGACTTTCCAAAATCTGCTTTGACATGACCTATTTCAGAAGTAAAAATTGCAGTATTTTTCTTTACAAGGCAAAACAAAAAATTAAAATAAGTGAATCCTTACTTCAGATGACACTGGAGGGCTGAAAAATGAACATCCACCATCTGGAAGAAAACGTATCTTTTTAAGAAATTACACCTTGTGAAATGATAAACATTTTTGTACATTATTATAAATTTGATTGACATTTTGCAGAGAATCACAGCAAGGCGTCTTTCAGTTGTTCAACTGTCCCTACGAAGACTACAAGTTTATTCCCATTGTCAAGCTTAATCTTTCTAATTAATGGAATTTTATATTCAGAAGTCACCCAACACCAACAGGTTTATTTGAAATCATGAGCTTTTGGAGTGCTGCTCCTTCATCAAGTGGGGAGCCATTTTACATCGTGGAACCATTTTACATCATTCCAAAGCACATTCCAGTCACTGATAGATATTTTGCATCAGCTTGTTCAGAGATGTTCCGAGCCGATGGGGTGGGAAGGGGTAAACACTTGAACCGAGGTCTTCCAGCTTGGAGGTAGAATCACTACCACCACAACACAAGACCCTCTACAGCCAAAAATACATTTGTCATCATGTAGCTAACTGATGCACAGCTGGATGTCACAAGTAGCAACATATGGTCAGCTGTCCTCTGAAAACTGCTGACTTTTCTTCATCATCATAGTCCAGCACCAGCACCTCCACATAATAATTTTATATTGACAGCTGTAACAGTGACCAAATTGGACAAGTATCTGGTCTATACTTGGGAGTGCCATGAGCATTTGCACAATTTATTACTGGATTATCGTCAATCAGGAAGGAAGACACCTTGAAGTTATACCCACCTTGTATGGAGTAAGGGTGTTGTAGAGCCCTGTACGTATTATGCAACAGAATAGGGCTAGAGCGAGATAAAACAAAAATGAATTAACATTTTTGTAAAGTCTGTATGCACATTTACAGTGTTACAATGAAGAATGCATGGGTTACGGAGCATTTTTCTCTTCAAAGAGATCTGATCATTCACATCAACAGCATTTCTTTTGTTTTAGGAGGATCAGACATTAAATGTGTGGGAAACTCAAAAACAAGACCCTAACTTTTTCTTTACATACAGTACATATCCACAAATTGTTATAGTTAAGTGTAAGCATGCATTACTTCTGAAACCTAACATATTGATTAAATCCCAGAGCTAAAAAACCTTCAGAAACTTGCACTTTTGACATACTTAAAATCATGCTTTCATTGTACTTTACATTTATAAAGGCATCTTTAGTTTAATACAGAAATGTACAGGACAGAAAGTAGGCCATTTAGGACTGAGATGAGAAGAAATTTCTTTATCCAGAGAGCTGAGCCTGTGGAATTCCCTTATACAGAAAGCAGTTGAGACCAAAACGTTAAATGTTTTCAAGGAGGAGATACAGTTCTTAAGATTAAATGCATCAAAGGGTGTGGGGCAAGTGCAAGAACAGGGCATTAAGTTGGATATCAGCTAGGAATCATGAAATCCTTCCGCAATGGCATTGTGGGTTTACCCACAGCCCATGGACTGCAGTGGCTCAAAGCAGCAGTTCACCACCACCCTCTCGAGGGCAACTAGGGACAGGAAATAAATGCTAGCACAGTCAGTGATGCCCATATTCCTCAAGTGAATACAAAACAAAAAAGAATGCATGGTGAACCAAGCTCAAGGGGGCTGAATAGCCTACTCCTGCTCTTATTTTTTATGTGTCTACACATAATATTCTTTCACCGATATTAACTCCCCTATTCCGAACACTCCTCTTATCAATATACTTTTTCTAAGACTTTCAAAGGCTGCTAAAATTTAGGCAACAGTAATGCCCCGTTTATAAAATAAAATGTTGCGTTTTATGAATGAGTCTTTAACATGACTTTTTCCTTCCTAAAATGCAACCAAACTGATAAACATGCCTGAAGTATTTTACAGGTTGAATTTCATTCCACTTACAGGCAGTCTCTGTGCATTCAGCCCAGTGAATGAAGTCTCAAATAACTGTACCATTGCATAAGCTGCACATTACATAGTGAAATGGTTATTTCAGAATTTATCAATAGCTCTCCTTACAGCCATTGGAAAAATAGTAATATGAATAAACTGTTCCATTGTTTACAATGGTTTACCCGACAGAATTCTGACTGAATATTGGTGTTTTGACCAACAGGACTGATTTCCAACAAGTGAGTGTTACTTCCACTGATGTGGAAAATATGGTACTGTGGACTATGGTGTAAACAATAACTGAACTGATTTTATTTGAACTTCGATTTGTTTTACATAGGCCTCTTACAGACAGCAACCAGTAGAACTTTCATTTCATCAGATTGAGTTGGATTCAATTCCAAGTTGAAGTGACTGTGCCTCAATTCCTTTAACTTTTTAAATTTGTTTTGGTGATTATTCTATACATTCATTTGGTTTTTTTGTTCTATTTCCTCTTACGAAGATACTATTTTTCCCAAATATTTCAAGTTTGATTTAATCTCCTCTTAGACACTAGCAGAGAACAGTTACTGGCTGAAACAGAAGTAAAGGAACAGGTTGTTTAACAAGGGATTAAAAGGAATAAAATTCTAAACTGAAAGATACTAACATCTTAACAAAAATGAGACTCCCATTTTCAATTAAGGATGAAGGAGGAAAATGGAAAGCAGCGCACAATGATGCTACTCACATGACACCGCCATAAAAAAAGTGCAATTTTCCAAGGGGAGATACCACAGCTCTTCAACCAGCGTGTACAAATTACTCAACCACACAATTTTCAAAAGGAAATTTAAAACCATTTAGGAGGTGCATGATGCTTGGAAGATAACCTTGTTGAAAGAAAGGTTATAAATATATGACGTCAGAAATACTTCATTTAAAAGATAACGAGTGCAAAATGTTTGTTTAAATGGAATTAAAATTCTCATCCTCAGTTTGATCTCTTTGGATTTCCTCATGATCCTTGTCAGTTCCACAATCCTCAGCACTATTCCCATTCCTCCCCAATTAGGGTCTCTTGCACATCCCAATATCTTTTAAAACCACTCGACTACTGTAAATGTCTTCAGTTGCCTATGGCTCAAGCACAGGAATTCCCTACCTACATTTCACCCTTCTAAAAAAAAAATTACTGCTTAATCGGATATGGACATGACTGGCAAGCCAACATTTCTTGCCCATCCCTCCATTGCTTTGAATTGAGTGCTTTGCAAGGCCAGGTCAGAAGACATTTAAAAGTAAATGTGTTACTTGAAATTTTCAGAAAGTTTTTGATAGGGTTGGCTTTATGTTAGTTACTAAAACTACTGCACATGAGATTAGGGGCAATATACCAGTATGCATGGAAGATTGATTAACAGACAGAAAACAGACAACAGAAATAAACAGGTTATTCTTGGGATCACAGACTGTACTAGTTGAATCAGAGCCAAAGCCACATCTGTTCGCAATCTATTTCTATAACAGGATTGTGGGGACCGAATGTTATGTTTCCAAGTTTACTGATGACACAAAACTAGACAGAAATATAATCTTTAAGGATATAAAGGAGGCCACAAGGGGAATGGACAAGCTAGGTGAATGAGCAATAACATAATAGATGGAATATAATGTGACTAAGTGTGAAGTTACCTGAAACAAACAAAAAATTGCTGGAGCAACTCAATGTCTGGCAGCTACTGTACAGAGAAATCAGAGCTAACATTTTGATTGCTCTGGTCCTTCTTCGGGGCAAAATTCTTACAGGATGTGACAGGGTGCATGCTGATGGGATGGCTTTGTTGGCTGGTGAGTCTAGAACCAGAGTTCAGAATAAGGAATAAGCCATTTAAGATGGAGATGAGGCAGGATTTCTTCACGCAGAGGGTGGTGAATCTTTGGAATTCCATAATCCAGAGGACTATGGAAGTTCATACACTGGGCACATTCAAGACACAAATCAAGAGTTTTCTGGACACTCATGACATCAAGGGGTATTTTCCATTCATTTGTGGGATGTGGGCGTCACTGGCTGGGCAGCATTTCTTGCCCATCCCTAGGTGCCCTTGAGGAGGTGGTGGTGAGCTGCCTTCTTGAACCGTTGCAGTCCTCCTGTTGTGGGTTGACCCACAATGCTATCAGGGAGGGAATTCCAGGTTTTTGACCCAGCGACAGTGAAGGAATGGCGATATAATTCCCAGTCAGGATGGTGAGTGACTAGGAGGTGGTGGTGTTCCTACATATCTGCTGCCCTTGTCCTTCTAGATGGAAGTGGTCATGGGTTTGGAAGGCGCTGTCTGAGGATCTTTGGTGAATTTCTGTAGTGCATCTTGTAGGTAGTACACACCGCTGCTACTGAGTGTCGGTGGTGGAGGGAGTGAATGCTTGTGAATTTAGTGCCAATCAAGCAGGCTGCTTTGTCCTGGATGGTGTCAAGCTTCTTGATTGCTGTTGGGGCTGCACTCATCCAGGCAAGTGGGGAGTATTCCATCACACTCCTGACTTGTGCCTTGTAGATGGTGGACAGGCTTTGAGGAGTCAGGAGGTAGGTTACTCGCCGCAGTATTCCTAGCTTCTGGCCTGCTCTTGTAGCCACTCTGTTAATGTGGGGAGTCCAGTTGAGTTTCTTGTCGATGTAACCTCCAGGATGTTGACAGTGGGGTATCTAGTAATGGTAACACCATAGAATGTCAAGGGGCGGTGGTTAGATTGTCTCTTATTGGTGATGGTCATTGCCTGGCATTTGTGTGGCACGAATGTCACTTGCCACTTGTCAGCCCAAGCCTGGATATTGTCCAGATCTTGTTGCATGTGAACATGGACTGCTTCAGTATCTGAGGGGTCACAAATGGTATGAGGATGGTGCAGGAAAGTGATGCTGAAGTAGATGATAAACCATCAGCAACCTGATTGGTGATGCATGTGTAATAACTTATGCCTGTTTCTATGTACAAAACAGAGTGTACATGTGTGCGCAAAACCCAAGTTCTGACCAATTATTCTTATTTTGCCTGTTCTAGCGAGGTTGCTCGTACTTCCAGCATGAGCAGGTGCATTAGGATCACTGAAAGGGATTTTCACAACCAAGTTAATCTACGTCCACTGCTATAATCCCAATTGCAGATTTATTTCCTTCAGTCCAAGAGGGGTAGTTCCTCAATTGAATTTTAGCTGGTAAATCAACAAATGTTTGCATAGTGCCTTTACGATTCTGTGTAGCATTATATTAAAGTATGAACTTTACATAAGGAAACGGTCACGTCAAACAGATAGATTTTAATGAGTGTCATAGTGGAGATAAGCTAAGTAGAATGATGGACAGGTTCAGAAGGATATTCAAGATCTTAGGGCCAAGTAACTGAAAGCACTGCCAGCAATGGTGAAGCAATTACAACTGGGGTGCGCAAAAAGGCCATAACTACAGGAATGAATTAATCTCAGAGGTTTTAGGGTCGGAGGTGATGTCAAATCATTGTAAGGCGCTAAGACCATGAAGAGATGTGAAATCAAGAATAAGAACATTAAAAACAGTTTGTTGCTCAAACAAGAGGCAATGTAGGTCAGCGAATATGCAACTGATGGAGGAAACTAGATTTACTGCAAGTTAGGACATGAAAGAAGACGAGGAGTGGATGACCTCAAAATTTACAGAGGTTACAATGTCGGAAACCAACCAGCAGTTGGCAAAGTCAAGTATAGGGACTTTTTTCTCGCCTTGCTCTATGTTAGCATTAAGATAACATTACAATTACGCTATTGCAGTGTATTAGTGGACTAAATTGGGTTATGATTGAAGATTTCAGGAGGAGCAGATTAGCAAATAGGGAGAATATTCAGGCCAGAGGTGGTAAAAAGTGATGTTGATGATGGTACAATGTGACAAGCTTGTAAGCAGACTAGCTTAATCTCAAACTATGGGAGAGGGGGATGGAGTCACTAGCTTGGGAACAGAATTTGGAATGGTGACAAAAAACAACTCTAATATTTAACTGGAGAAGTTTTTTTGCTCATTCAGTTCTGAGTGTTGGTTAAACAGTCTGACAATTTAACAAGAGGAGGAGTTAAAAAAGGTGTTAATGAGTTGGAGTAGGTGTTATCGGCATATACAAGAAAACAGTACCTTTGGTTGATGCTATCAAAGTACAGCCTGCAGATGAGAAATCCTCAACTAGAGAGAATTAAAAATTAAAGAGGTGGGTTTCCTCTTCCCTCCCGGCAAATTAACCTCCCAACAGATGGAGAGAATAGTGAGAGGAACTATCCACAAACATATTAATATAAAGCAGAACTTTGAAATTAGGGTGGGGTCATATTAGCCACGGAAATGCTTCTCTGAAGTAACCACTTCTAGGAAGAAAAGTTAGCTCAGAACGTCCGGCACTAAGAGAAAGAGAAGAATCGAGCATACCTTGTTATTGTAGAAATTTCAGAGGTTGGGTTTGAGGTTTCATTCCCGCTCGTCTTGTATGGAGTTTTAATTCCTTGGGTCACAGAGGAATAACTGTTTCCTACTAAATGCAATCCATACCAACAGTATTGTTACATGACTGCAAAGTTATTTTATTCACAATCACGTTAAAATTAAGATTAACTTTTTCTTAGCCTTACTGCATGTTAGCATTAAGATAACATTACAATCATGTGACCTTGGTATACTAGTGGACCAAACTGACTGGATTCACGCCAACTCCAACATAGAGTTATTAAAAGGTAAAGTTGCCAAAGTCCTAGTAGAACACAGAACTGCTCTCCTCTGGGAGAGAGAGAGAGACATGACTGTTGATAGGTTAACTTCAGGATCACCACACCTCAAGCAAAGGGAGAGGTTGAGAAGAAGAGTCCCTCATGGTAATCTCAGCCAGTGTGGGAAATGAATCCACGCTGTTGGCATCACTCTGCATTGCAAGCTCAGTCCCACTGGAATACTATGTCTCAGGTAAAAGGTGCCAAACAGAAGACTGTATTTGCCTACAGAGGGGGACAGGAAACTAGATTGTCAACTTTGCGCAACAAATATGGTACTGTACAATAATGTTATTTAAAAATAAGGGAAGGAAAGAGTAATTAATCACAATTTATACTTCAACCGAAAAACATTATGTTGCTTTACGAAGGATTTTTGAACAGCTTTATTGCACTGATGGATAATGGACTACAGAATATTCAACAGGGAAAGCTGTTGAGTACAGGCAGTCCCGGGTTACAAATGGATTCTGTTCTGGAGTCAATTTGGACGCAAGACAGAACACAATGCACGACCATGTAAAGCAGCCGTTCGTAAGCACAGGAGATTTTTGTATGGTGGATCTTTAAAATTACAGCCTGCATAGGATCTAGTTCCTAAGTACCTACTTTCATAAGTTAGACATTCGGAAATTGGAGACCCCGTGTAGACAGTTAAATGTATTTCAAGATGATGTCCGGTTCTGATGGCATCCATCTCACCATCCTCAAGATGTATTTCCCTCATCTATGTCAGAGGTTCCCTACGGAGTCATCAGCTAAACGTTTAGAATTATGAGCTCCAATGACTGAAATGGATCACCAATGGAGTGCGGACAGCTGCATAGCCACTTTCAACCTTCCAGTTGTTGTAAAAGGGAACATCACCTAACGGAGCAATCACACAGGCTGGAATTCTACCCTGTTCAACTGAATTATTATCTCCCCACTTTTGCATTTAATTCCCTCAGAATAAATGATAGCATTCTACTGGATTTCCTAATTGCTTTCTGTAGCTACATACTCGACTTTTATGATTTATGCATTAGGCCATCCAGAGCCCTCTACATCTCAAGAGCTCTGTAATCTCTCATCACTTCGATAATGTTTCTTGCTGCTAAAATGGACAACACCACCAAAATATTGGTTCTAACTGTTTGTAATTTGGCACCTCATCTTAATTTAGGGTGCATTGGAAAATGCCAAACTTAAAGATATAGCGATCAAAAGCCCCAAATCATGAATCCTCAGGATATCAAGCATGATTATTAGCCTGGATTTTCTCTTCTTCCAGAGTTTGATTACTTACCTCCTTTCAACCAAGTTTCATCATTCCCTTTTTCTGTCACGGATACTGACGGAGTAATTAAAGTTAGACCACTGAAAATTGATGGAGTACAATCTAGCTGGCTGTGCAGAGTCTGCTTCTGCCACGGTGTTTTGAAATAACTTGAAATAAAGCAACGAGCGTCATTTCTAGGTTGTTTAAGGTGGTTAGAAGCTGCCAACAAACTAAGTTCCTCAAACCAATTTGAACATAATGGTCCCAAATCTGTAATGAAGAACAAAACAGCTTGTTTTTAAAACAACAATGGGGTATACAAATGCAGTATGCCTCAAAATCACCTTATTTAAATCAGGGACGGTTAAGGCACAGAGAGAACAGTTTTCTTGCAACATGCATGTAACATTTGACTATGCCACGCAGTTTTTAAAAGTGGCAACATCACAGAAACAATTTTAACATACTTAAAAAATTTTATGTTCCCTACCTTCTCGACAAGAGGCTGCAAAATCATACATGGCATTCCTCGAATTCTGTTCTAACATCTAGCTCAGTGATGCAACCGTAATAGAACATTACTCTTGGCAGATCAGTAAAATGGAACCCATTTTAAATTCAGATATTCCTGTGAAAACAAAATTATTTTTAAATTTCCAGAATCATTTAAGTTACAAAAGTAACCTCCAAATATTAACTCACTATGAAGATGGCAAACAGCAAATATAGATGGGTTGCTCTAGTTTATATTCTAAAATTAGAAAGATTTTGTTAAGACTAATCTGGTAACTACCACTTAGGCAAATTTAACTTGTACTGCATTGAATAAATCCATAAAGAGACCAGGAACAGGCCATAAAGGAAAATGGGCAGGCATGAAAGACAAAGAGCAACAGCAAGCCTCAAATATAGTTTCCCAGGCTGATCCAGGGGACCTTGAAGGGGCAATTAATGTGTGCCGGGAAAGGCAACGGCATATTTGAATTGAAAATGGGTGGAATGTTTTAAGAGAAAAGACAAATCAGGAATTTGGGAGTTGCTGGCAGGTTGAGCTAAATGTAGTATTTCCACTGCTCAACCCCCGCGCCCCCCCCAACACCCCCCACCCCCACCTTGTGGAGACTGTAGCCTTGAAGTGTAATGCCAAAATCAGCAAGAAAATTATGATATTTGTGAAAAGTAAAAATAAGTAAAAAGTAAAATAAGTTGCTGTGAAGGATTTGAGGAAGTCAGTCATGAGTTGCGTGGATATGAGCTTGGTGTAGACTGAATAGGATCAAAGATCGAAAAAATAATTTCAACAATTTAACCTTGGAAAGGATCTAGAAATAAGGGCTAGAAAGCCCTAGTACAATTACTAAGCAGATAAGATGACTAGTTTCTGGTGAATATAGTTCAGGAGGAATGGGAAAATAAAAGCAAAAATAAACAGGAGCTAAAAATGAGGAACTGCTCATTCTAAGTACTGCAAAAACAGTAGGAAAAACATTTCAGTTATAATAAACAGTATAAAACAAGTAGGTTAGGGGCTGTGTTCTCTGTAGCAAATGACTTGCCTCTTGACCCCTTCCACAACTTAGAAGGCTAAAATGAAGCCTGTGATGGAATGCAACACACTTGCCTGGATGAGTACGTACCATCTACAAGATGCAATGCAATAGCTTACCAAGGCTTTAAATGCATCTCTCAAACCCCACAACCCCCTTTCAAATTATACACCACCCTGACTTGAAAGTATATTCCTGTTCCTTCATCAGAAGGTCTGAAGTCAATGGGAACCAGGGAAGAAGCACTCCACTGCCTGAAGTCATACCTAGTATAAGGTATGATAGTGTATTTGTCTGTCGGAGGTCAATCATCTCAGCCCTGAGACTTCATTAGAAGAGTTCCTTGGAGTAGTGTCCTAAGCCCAACCACTTTCAACTACTTCCATGACTTCCCCTCCATCAGCAACATTTCCCACTTATCATCCAGACTTTGAAATATACCTCCATTGGTTCAACATTGTGTTTCAAAATCTTGAAACTGTCTTTCTAACAGCATTGCAGGTGTACCTATATGAAATGGACTGCAATGGTTCAAGAAAGCAGCTCATGACCATCTTCTCAATGACAACGAGGGATGAGCAATAAATAGTGCCCAGTCAGCAACACCCACATCGTAGGAATTAATTAAAAAACAATGGGAATGGTTGCTGATGATTGCACAATGTTCAGCATCATTCACAATTCCTCAGACACTGAAGAAATCCTGTTCATAATCAATAGCTTTACCATCACTGTATCTCAAACATCATCCTGGGTGGGTTGCCACTGAGCAGAAACTGAAGTAGATTAGTAATAAATCGGAAGTTGGAAATTCTGCAGCAAGTAACTCATGTCTTGATTGTTTAAAGTCTGTCCATCATCTACAAGACAAATCAGCAGTACAATGAAATACACTTTACTTGCATGGTTGAATACAGTCCCAACAACCCGAGAAGCTTGACACCAACTGGGACACAGCAGTCCTCCTCATCCACACCCCATCCACCACCTTAAATATGCACTGTCTCTATCAGAGATGCACAAGAGTAGCATGGAAAATGAATTTTAAGAACTCATCAACATGCCTTACAGACCCTTAGGTTACATAGAAACATTGAAGATAGGAGCAGGAAGCAGCCATTCAGCCCTTCAAGCCTGCTCCACCATTCTTCACACTCATGGCTGATCATCCAACTCAATAGCCTAATCCTGCTTTCTCCCCATAACCTTTGATTCTATTCACCCAAGTGTTGTACCTAGTCGCGTCGGGAATACATTCAATGTTTTGGCATCAACTACTTCCTGTGGTAATGAATTCCACATGCTCACCATTCTTTGGGTTAAGAAATGTCTCATCTCCGTCCTAAATTGTCTACCCTGAATCCTTGTACAGTGACCCCTGGTTCTGGACATACTCACCATCAGGAGCATCCTCCCTGCATCTACCCTGTTCAGTCCTGTTAGAAGTTTATAAGTCTTCATGAGAACCACTCCCCACCACCCCCTCAAGTATCGATCTGAAATCTAGTGAAAACAATCCCTACTTAGTCAATCTCTCCTCATACGTCAGAACAGCCATCCCTGGAATCAGTCTGGTAAACCTTTGTTGCACTCCCTTGATACTAAAATTGCACACAATATTCCTGGTGCAGTCTCACCAAGGCCCTGTACAACTGCAACACATCCCTGCTCCTGTACTCAGGACCTCTCGCAATGAAGGTGAACATACCATTTGCGTTCTTTACCGCCTGTTGCACCTGCACGCTTACCTTCAGTGACCGGTGCACAAGGACACTCAGGTTCTGCTGCACACTCCCCTCTCCCATTTTATAGCCATTCAGGTAGTAATCTGCTTTCTTGTTTTTGCTTCCGAGGTGATTAGTCTCACATTTATCCAAATTATCCTGCATCTGTCATTGATGTGCCCACTCACCCAACCTGTCCAGATCTTGCTGAAGGATCTCTGCATCCTTGTCACAGTTCACCCTCCCACCCAACTTGTATCATCTGCAAACCTGGAGATGTTACATTTTGTTCCCTCAACCAAATCATTAATATATATTGTGAATTGCTGGGGTCCCAGCACCGAATCCTGTGGCACACAACTAGCTACTGCCTGCCAATTTCAAAAGGACCCATTAATTCTTGCTTTTTGTTTCCTATCCATCTCAATACACTTCTCCCAATCCCATGCACTTTAATCTTGCACGTTAATCTCTTACATCAGACTTTCAAAAAGTGTTTGACAAAGTCCAAATATACTACATAAACAGGCTCCCCCTTGTAATTAGCAGAGTTGACATCTTCATAGAATTCCAACAGATTTGTGAAACATGATTTCCCCTTCATAAATCCCTGCCGGCTCTGTCTGATCCTGCCACGGCTTTCGAAATGCTCTGCTTTAAAATCCTTGACAACGGATTCGAGAATTTTCCCCACTATCAATGTTAGGCTCACCAGTCTATAATTCCCTGTTTTCTCTCTACCTCCCTTTTTGAATACTAGAGTGACATTAGCCAGCCTCCAATCTGCAGGGACTGTTCCACAGTCTATAGAATCCTGGAAGATGATCACCAGTGCATCCACTATTTCTTGAGCTCCTTCCTGAAGTACACTGGGATGTAGATTATCAGGCCCTGACAATCTCAACAGTTTCTACACTGACCAGACATCCCAATCTGACCTAGTCCCATTGGCCAGAATTTGACCTATATCTCTCTAAACCCTTCCTATTCATATACCCATCCACATGCCTTTGAAAAAAACTGAAAGAACTGTGCATGCTGTAAATCAGGAACAAAAACAGAAGTTGCTGGAAAAGCTTAGCAGGTCTGGCAGCATCTGTGAAGAAAAAAAAATTCAAAGTTAACATTGCGGGTCCAGTGACCCTTCGTCAGAACGGTTAACACTGATTTTTTCCTTCACAGATGCTGCCAAGCCTGCCGAGCTTTTCCAACAACTTCCGTTTTTGTTCCAGATGCCTTTTGAATGTTGTTAATTTTCTCACTTCCTCTGGCAGCTTATTCCATATACAAACTACCCTCCGTGTGAAAACATTTCCCCTCAGGTCCTTTCTAAATCTTTCCCCCTCATTTTAAACCAACGCACTCTAGTTTTAGACTCACCCAGCCAAAGAAAAAGACCTTGGCTATTCATCCTATCCATGCCCCTCATGATTTTATAAACCTCTATAAAAGGTCACCCCTCAGCCTCCAATGCTCCAGAGAAAATAGTCCCAGCCTACTCAGCCACTCCGTATAGCTTAAACGGTCTGACCTTGAGGAAGGGTCACCGGACCCAAAACATTAACGGATATTTTTCTTCACAGATGCTGCCAGACCTGCTGAGCTTTCCAGTAACTTGTTTTTGACCCAGGCAACATCCTTGTAAATCTTCTCTGAACCCCTTCAAGTTTCACAACATCATTCCTGTAAGTAGGCAGACCAGAACTGAACACAGTATCCAAAAAGTGGCCTAACCAATGTCTTGTGCAGCCACAGCATGAACTCCCAACTCCTACACTCAATGCACTGACCAATAAAGGCAAGCATACCAAATGCCTTTTTCACTACCCTGTCTACTTGTGACTCCATTTTCAAGGAACTATGAACCTGCAACCCAAGGTCTCTTTGATTGGCAACACTCCTCAAGACCTTACCATTAAGTGTACAAGTCCTGCCCTGATTTGCCTTTCCAAAATGCAGCACTTCATATTTATCTAAATTAAACTCCATCCGCCACTCCTCTGCCCATTTGTCCATCGGATCCAAGTCCCATTGTACTGAGAGGTAATCTTCTTTACTGTCCTCCACACCACAAACTTTGGTGTCGCCTGCAAAATTAGTAACCATACTTCCTATATTCACATCCATATGATTTATATAAATAACAAAAAGCAGTGGACACAGCACCAATCCTTGAGGCACACCACTGGTCACAGGCCTCCAGTCCATAAAGCAAACTCCATCACCCTCTGTCTCCCACCCTCAAGCCAATTTTGTATCCAAATGGCAAGCTTTTCCTGGATCTAACTTAACTAACCAGTCTACCATGAGGGACCTTGTTGAACGCCTTGTTGAAGTTCATATAGGCAACGTCCAACGCTCTGCCTTCATCAATCTTGCCACTTCTTCAAAATACTCAAAGAAGTTGGTGAAACATGATTCCCATGCAAAAAGCCATGGTGACTATCCCTGATCAGTCCCTTGCTTTTCCAAATACATGTAAATCCTGGGCCTCAGAATCTTCTCCAAAAACCAACCCACCACTGATGTCAGGCTCACCGGTCTATAGCTCCCCGGCTTTTCCTTAAAGCCTTTCTTAAATAATGGCACCATGTGAGCCAACCTCCAATCTTCTGGCACCTCATCCGTGGCTATTAATGATGCAAATATCTTAACAAGAGGTTCAGCAATTACTTTCCCAGCTTTCCAAAAATTTCTGGGCTACACCTGATCAGGTCAAGGAAATTTATTAACCTTTATATGTTCTAAGTTATCCAGCATCTACTCCTCTGTAATATGAACACTTTTCAAGATATCACTATTCATTTCTCCAACTTCTCTAGCTTCCATATCCTTCTCCATAAATACTGAAGCAAATTATTCGCTTAGTATCTCACCCATCTCCTGCAGTTCCACACATAAATGGCCTTGTTGATCTTTAAGGGGCCTATTTTCTTCCTAGTTACTCTTTTGTCCTTAATGCATTCGTAGAATCTCTTTGGATTCTCCTTCAACTGATAGCTTTGGCAATCTCATGTCCCCTTTATACCCATCTAATTTTTCTTAAATATACTCCTACTGCCCTTATATGCTTCTGGGGATTCACTCAATCCCAGCTATCTATACCGGACATAAGCTTCCTTCTTTCTCTTGACCAGAGCCTCAATTTCTCTAGTCATCCAGCACGCCCTACACCTACCAGCCTTGCCCTTGACACTAACAGGAACACACTGTCTCTGGACCCTCATTATCTCATATTTGAAGGCCTCCCACTTTCCAGCCGTCCTTTTATCTGCAAATAACTCCCCAATCAACTTCTAAAATTTCTTGCTAAATTCTGACAAAGTTGGCCTTCCTTCAATTTAGAACTTTAACTATTAGATCAGGTCTATCCTTTTCTGTAACTATTTTAAAACTAATAAAATTATGATCACTGGCCCTACTGACACCTCAGTCACTTGCCCTGCCTTATTTCCCAAAAGAGAGTCAAGTTTTCCTCCTTCTCTAGTGGGTATATCCACATACTGAATAAGAAAATTTTCTTGTACATACTTATGTTCCTCTCCATCCAAGCCCTTAACACAATCTATGTATGGAAAGTTATAATCCTGTACCATTACAACCCTATTATTCTTACAGATAATTGAGATCTCCTTACAAATTTGCTTCTCAATTTTCCACCAGCTATTGGGGGGTCTATAGTACAACCTCAACCAGGTGATCATCCCTTTCTTATTTCTCAGTTCCACTCAAGTAGCTTCACTGGATGTACTCCCCAAAATATCCTAAGTACTGCCGTAATGTTATCCCTAAGGTTTTAGAGTAGATTTGTAGCTCGGGTTGTGGATGTTGTGGTTGGTTGGCTGGCTCGCCGAGCAGGTTCGTTGTTCCACAGGCATTTCATTACCCTGCTAGGTAACATCATCAGTGCAGCCTCTGATGAAGCACTGTTGTGTTTTCCCGCCTGTTATTTGAGCTCTGGTGTCCGTCGGGCTGGATTACCTCACTTTCCGTTTTCCTTTGCAGTGGAGTATATATGGGGTCGAGCTGTATGTGTTTATTGATGGCTTTCTTAGTGGAGTACCAGGCTTCTAGGAATTCCCGTGCTTGTTTCTGCTTTGCTTGTCCCAGGATCCTGGTATTGTCCCAATCGAATTGGTGGTTCTCCTTATCCACGTGGATAGAGATGAGTGGTATAGGTCGTGTCTTTTTGTTGCCAATTGATGTTTGTGTACCCTTGTGGTTAATTTTCTTCCTGTTTGTCCAATGTAGTGTTTGTCACAGTCTCTGCAGGGAATCTTGTATATGACATTGGTCCTGTCCATAGTTGGTATCCGGAGATATCACCCACTTCACCTTTAAACGGCCAAATATACGGACAGATCAATGGGACACCCATAGGATCACCTATCTCCGGACTAATAGCTGAAGCGGTAATAACACAGACTTGAAAGTACGGCCCTCTGCTAATCCATCCAAAACTACGGATATGCTACGTGGACGACACCGTTGTCATTATTAAACAGACCAAACTAGAGGAGACACACGAACTAATAAACAATACCCTCACCGGAATCAGATTCACCAGAGGAGAAGAACAAACAGCTCCCATTCCTGGACGTCATGGTGGGACGCAAGACAAACCGGGAATTCCTAACAAAGGTACACAGGAAAGCCACATACACTGACCAAGTACTGAATTTTGACAGCAACCACCCTAACACACACAAACGAAGTTGCGTGAGAACATTATCTAAAAGGGCAACAACACACTGCAGCAGCACAGAGCTACGCCAAGAAGAAGAAGAATAGTACCTCTTCCAGGTATTCAAAGGCAATGGATACACAAAAATCTGGCTCAGAAGCTGCCTATCACACAAATGACACCAGGAAGATATTACACACCCCAACACACTCATCACGCTACCTCACATCAGGTACACATCTGAACTGACCACAAGGCTCCTACGATCACTGGGCATCAATGTAGCACACAAACCCACATCAACCCTTCCAACTGCTCACCCAAACCAAAGACCCACTACGGGCAGGACCAATGTCATATACAAGATTCCCTGCAGAGACTGTGACAAACACTACATTGGACAAACAGGAAGGAAATTAACCACAAGGGTACATGAACATCAACTAGCCTCAAAAAGACATGACCAATACTCACTTGTCTCTATCCACATGGATAAGGAGAACCACCAGTTCGATTGGGACAACACCATGATCCTAGGACAAGCAAAGCAGAGACAAGCACGGGATTTCCTAGAAGCCTGGTACTCCACTAAGAAAGCCATCAATAAACACATACGGCCCGACCCCATGTACACTCCACTGTGAAGGAAAACGGAAAGTGAGGTAATCCAGCCCGACGGACACCAGAGTTCAACTAACAGGTGTGAAACACAACAGTGCTTCATCAGAGGCTACACTGATGATGTCACCCAGCAGGGTAATGAAACGTCTGGGGAACATCGAACCTGCTCAGCGAGCTAATCAACCACAATGTTATCCCTGACCAAAAACACCACTCCCCCTCCTCTCTTGCCCACCCTTTCTATTCTTCCTATAGCATCTATACCCTGGAAAATTAAGTTGCCAGTCCTGTCCATCCTTGAGCCATGTTTCTGTAATAACTATGATATCACATTCCCATGTTCTGAACCATGCCCTGAGTTCATGTACCTTATTTGTCAGGCCTCTAGCGTTGAAAAAAATGCATTCTTTGCCTTGCTCCTTTTCTCAACTATACTAGTCTCAGACTTGTATCTCTTCGGGGCAATAATTGGAGACTTGACAAAAAAATTAATTATATTTGAAAAGGCAGGGTTATCTTTTTCTGGCAAATATAGGGGATACCCATATTGTGTGTTTTAATGACTAATCTCTCAAAAGGTACTCAGGAGTTCTGATGAACAGTCACCAGACTCAAAACTTTAACTCTGCTTTCTCTCTCCAGATGCTGCCAGACCTGCTGAGTTTCACCAGCAATTTCTGTTCTTCTCTCAGAGGTATGTCATAACACAGCTTCTAGAGGACCGAACTTGATATTCCAATGCACTCGTCAGTCTCCCACCCTTTATACTGTAGAAAAATTGCCATACCAACTCTCGTTACCCATAACACAAAGTTCTGTTTGCCCATCAGGCCGGTGCTCAATGGCCTTCACTAATTCCCAACTAAACAATATTTCTCTGTAACCATCTTCGTTATTTACACTGCTCAAATTTTCTCCTTTTCTACAGACGAGATTTCAGTTGCTACTACTGACATCCCGGACCCTAAACTCCGGAATTCCCTTCCCCTATTTCTTTCTTTCCTTGAAATCTCCGGAGATTTTTTTTTTGCCCTAATAACACCTTATGCGGTTAGTTCCATATCATGTGGTGTTTAATAACCTCTTCGTGTGAAGGGCCTTTCGGACAATTTTAATACTGGGAAAAGCACGGACAAAAACAAAACAGGCCGAGGAACGTACCACTGAACAGAAGCATCAACCTGACAGACTTTTATCAGCTTTAAATAAACTGAGGAAATTAACTCAGTCTCCAAATCACGTAAAAAACGACTCCCTTACCATATGATAAAGTTATAATTCTCCAGATGCTGCAACTTTCCAGAACATTCACCAGCGCCTCCAGCAACTGCACAGCCCACTTCGCGCGCTCACGTACTGCCAAACACTATTGGTCAAGCACCATCGCAATACCAGCCAATCGGAGCGGACGCTTCCTTCGCTTGCGCCAATTAATGAGCGCAGTAGAAACATTGTGCAACAACTTCCTGTTCACTCTCCCTCAAAGTTCCAACGCTTCCCCTATCGTCACAATGTGGGCATGTCCAGGACTGGGAACGCAACAGGAAAGTGATCAGTACGTAGCATCCTACAAGCTAAAGGAGGGAGTGGATCCTGTCGCTTCGCTCCCCGAGCATACTGGCTAAAGTCATTGACTGAATGCCTCATCAACAGATCTTTCCAATAAGCACCAAGACGTAGTTTGGCTGGAGGTGAGACCGCTGCCCATCAGATCCTTCCTGCACACCCAGTCCCTCTCCACCACTGAACGCTGCCTTAGGAAAGAGACTGTTTTACATATCCTGGAATATGGCTTTGCAAATAAGGTCTGGCGAGGGATTTTTGTTTTTGTCCTTTTTGTTGAGGTTCATCCCGAACAGCTCTGTGACTGTGTGCTGTGCAGGCTGTTGCCTGGGATGTACACCAAGACAAACATTGAGTACACCTGGAGGATCATCAGTTCAGTCAAAGATCTTCTTATCTGCCCAAAAGTTGTTGGTCTTCAAGCGTAAAGATTTGACCTCAACCAAGTCTTACAGACTGGCACATTCCAAGATCCAGGACTCCATGCCGAGGGACACACTAAAACTTGAGGCAGCTGCCTCCGAGGCACAGTGGGGAAGGACTGTTGTATAAGCTCTTTCTGCCAAAATGTAATGAGGGTCTGTTCAGTTGTCAGACCCTCTAGGTGCTTCCAAAAGAACAGAAATAGTTTTCTGCATAAGTACAAAATGTCTTTTTTTTTGCAACTGTAGAGAAACTCTGAGAAATATCAAAGTTTTCTGAAGAAGGGTCCAGATCCGAAATGTCAGCTTTCCTGCTCCTCTGATGCTGCTTGCCTGCTGTGTTCATCTAGCTCTACGCCTTGTTACCTCAGATTCTCCAGCATTGGCAGTTCCCTCTATCCCTCAAAGTTCTAGACTTTTGTTTGTTTTTTTTCCTGCAAAGACTACTGATGGAGAACATTTGTATGTACTTATAGATGATTGTATGAATAAAAGTAAATTTTTGGAAAAAACTCTGGAGCTATTTAAAAACAACACTAGTTGGTGATGTGGAGGTGCTGGCGTTGGACTGGGATGGACAAAGTCAGAAGTCACACGACACCAGGTTATAGTCCAACAGATTTATTTGAAATCACAGGCTTTCGAAGTGTAGCCCCTTTATCAGGTGAAGTGAGAGAGAATCACACAGATAAGAATTTATAGGCAGAGAGAGATCACTAGTTGGTGGCAGAGAAGGCTGATCTTCATAGCATGTTTCTTCAGACTTACACCTGAAAGTGATTCCATTATCAAAACACATCTGAGACAGGTATTCTGCCCCTTCCTAAGCTTACCCTGCAATTAAGTGGAATTAAAGGACTTTTGCTCTTACAGAATAATGTCTCACCTGTGTGTCTGGCTTTTTTTTCAAGCAACTGCAGAGTTTTATCATTTAGTACAGAAGAACATAAAAGGAATATTTCGGTTGTGCAACAAATTGTTCCCATGTCTCTATGATATCCTTGTGAGAAAGTAAATTTCATTCTATTGATGCACTGCCTTAAGGCAGTTCCTTGCTTCATTACCGACTATACTTCATTTTATTTTGCTAACTGGTGGCTTACCATTGCCTTCAACTCTCAGGAGGAAGGCAAAGAGACAGGTCCAAGTCTGGCCCAGCTGAAACAGGAATTGAACACGTGCTCGAATTATTTTATACCTCACACAACTTATTTAACCAACTGAGCTAACCATTTCCCATTGTGACAAGGAAAAGGTAAATGTTGAAAATGGGTAGTTTGCTGCGAACAATGGTCCATTTAAGGTTTGGCTGTTGTTTGAAGAACAGAAGTGGAGGTGTGGGGAAGATCTTGACGAGGTGCTCATCGTCATCGATAATGTGTTGAAGGCTGCAAAGAACATGGCGTAGTTTCTCCGCTCCCAGGAAGTACTGGACGATGAAGGGTACCCTATTGGACATATCCCGTGTCTGTCTTCTGAGGAGGTCATTACGTTTTTTCACTGTGGCATGTCGGAATTGGCAATTGATGAGTTGAGCATCATATCCTGTTCCAATGAGGGCATCTTTCAACACCTTCAGGTGTCTGTCTCGTTCCTCCGCATCCAAACAGATCCTGTGTATGTGTTGGGCTTGTCTGTAGGGGATGGCTGTCTTAATATGTTGGACAGGGAAGCTAGAGAAATGCAGCACCATGAGGTTATCCATGGGCTTGCAGTAGAATGAGGTACTGAGGTGTTCGTCCTTGTTGGAGATGCATGTGTCTAAGAATGAGACTGATTCTGAAGAGCAGTCCATGGTAAGTCTGATGGTGGGATGAAATTTGTTGATATCACTATGTAGTTGTTTCAGTGATTCCTCTTGCCATGAGACCAAAGAAAGAAAATGTCATCAATGTGTCTGGTGTATACTATCAGTCGGAGGTTCTGTGCAGCAAAGAAGTCTTGTTCGAACCTGCGCATGAAAATGTTGGCATAACGGGGAGCAAATCTGGTTCCCATGGCTGTTCCGTGTGTCTGGATGAAGAACTGGTTGTCGAAGCTGAAGACATTGTGGTCAAGGATGAAGCAGATGAGTTGTACGGTGGCAGCTGGAAATTGTCAGTTGTTGGTATTGAGTACTGAGGCTGTTGTGGCGATGCCATTGTCATGGGGGATGCTGGTGTAGAGTGTGGAAACGTCCATTGTGACGAGGAATGTTCCTGGTTCAACTGGTCCGTGGGTGCTGAGTTTCTGTAAGAAATCTGTAGTGTCGTGACAGAAGCTGGGGGTTCCCTGTACTATGGGTTTCAAGATTCCCTCAACATAGCCAGAGAGGTTCTCACACAGGGTCCCATTGCCTGATATGATGGGACATCCAGGTGTGTCAGCTTTGTGTATCTTTGGAAGGCAGTAGAAGTCTCCCACATGGGATGTATGTGGGATGAGAGTGCATAGGGGACTCTGAAGGACTGGATCAAAAGTCTTGACCAGTCTGTTCAGTTGATTGGTGTGTTCATTGATTGTTCAGCTGTCGGTACACTTCCTTCCAGAAGTACATTCTATTCTGTATGATGATGGCTCTTTCTTTATCTTCTGATTTGGTGACAATGTTGCGATCGCAGGATACGATACTCAACTCATTGACCGCCACTTCTGACGTGCTACAGTGAAAAATCATAATGACCTCCTCAGAAGACAGACATGGGACACAACCATAGAGTACCCTTCATCGTCCAGTACTTCCCGGGAGCGGAGAAACTACACCATGTTCTTCGCAGCCTTCAACACATTATCGATGATGCACAGCAGATAATCATGTGACTTGGCCAACGTTGTCTATCTCATACACTGCAGGTAAGGATGTCCCAAGGCTTGGTACATTGGCGAGACTGTGCAGATGCTACAACAATGGATGAATGGACACCGCACAACAATTGCCAGACAGGGATGTTCCCTCCCAGTGGGGGAACACTTAAGCGGTCAAGGTCATTTGGCCTTGGAACTTCGGGTAAACGTCCTCCAAGGTGGACTTTGGGATACACAACAATGCAGAGTCACCGAGCAGAGGCTGATAGCCAAGTTCTGTACCCATGAGGACAGCCTCAACCGGGATCTTGGATTCATGTCGCACTACAGGTGACCCCACCACACTATACCCTCTCACACACACTCACTTACACAAACACACACACACACAAACAAAAACACACATCCTCTCACACACACAGTCTCACACAGGTCCTCTCTCATACACACACAGTCTCTCTCTCTCTCTCTCACATACACACACACATACTCTCGCTCTCTTACACATACACTCTCACACTCCCTCTCTCTCTCTCACACACACACACACTCACACAGATCCTTTCTCATACACACACTGTCTCTCAAACATGTGTGCGTGCACTCACACACACAAATACACTCTCTCTCTTCCACACACACTCTTTCTCTCTCATTTGCCACACACACACACTCACTCTCCCACACACACACACACACACACGTGAATCTATTGGGTGAATTTGTATTTGCACATACGTTCTATTTTGTTCAAAAAACACAGAATTTATAAACAATCGGTCAATGTGGTATTTTATAAATTCCTACTTTAGAAATAAAACCAGTCTGTCTCCAAATCAAAACATAAACAGATGCTAAACAAGGCCTCACACCTAATATGCATTGTCTGACCTAAAATGTCACTTCTTCTTTACACTGATAAAACCTGTAGTTCTCTCAGGACAGTGAGTTCAAAGGAATTAGAGGATTTACATATACATATTAATCAATTAAAACCTTCTAAATGATTTAAATATTTAACAACATCTTAGGTTTGTTTAGTACATCCTTATCAGTGATGTGATCCATTGATCTTTTACTCATAAATTCTGTGTCTGATACTACCTCTGTCGCTAACACCTGAAGAAGGAGTAAGGCTATGAAAGCTTGTGTTTTCAAATAAACCTGTTGGACCATACCTGGTGTCGTGTGATTTCTGACCTTTGTGTTAAGACTCATTTGCTAGTAGGTTGTTTTCCAGCTATTCCTGTTGTCTTCAGTTTTGTTAGGATTCATTGGTCCCACATTCAGACAAATGCTTGCTGAACTGATCTCAAAGGAAACCAAACGGACCTCATATTTGACAGTCAGCTCTTCTATCATGTTTGGATCCAGACTTCAATGAGGTCTGGAGCTGAATGGCCTTGGCTCCCAAAATGATCATCAGTAACCAGGTTGATGCTGAATAAATGCCACTTGAAAGTACTGTCAACACCAGCTTCAACTAGTTTGCTAATGTATGAGAACAGAATGAGTGGATGGTAATTGACATGATTTGTCCTGCTTTTTGTGGGCAGGACATATCTGTGCAATTTCACACACTGTCAGCTAAAATTTTGTAGCTGTACTAGAACAGCCTTAGCTAAAGATTTAGTTAGTTTTGGAGAACCAGTCTTCAGTAATACAGCAGGGATGTTGTCAGGCCCAATGCCTTTGCTAT